TATGTCACATTTTTAGGGTTACGTTTGTAATTGTTTGTATTGTTAGGTTCGAGGTTAGTAACATTTGTGTGAGAAAATAGTAGCTATGCTTGCTTAGCTAATGTTAGTTGGCCAACAGCTAGCTAGCTAGCTAGCCAGCTAGCATAACAATACCTAATGTTGGAGATGCATACAGTAATAATGACATGTACTGATGTGGCTCTATGGTGGCTCTCTAGTCCTTGGAAAAGCAAACCGGTTAAGTTTAACCAGCTCTAAACTGGCACTAGCGCTAGCCAAGAAGTAGCACTAGGTTAATGTTGATATAATATTGCTCATTCAAATCTGGTCGTAGAAATGTAGAATTGGTAAAAGAATGTAGTAAAAGAGTCAACCTTCCTGACCATGATATCTATGTGAGTATGAAGTAAGTGTGTGAGACAAATAGAAGATTAGGCAGCACTTAAAGCAGTCCTTGTCTGTCTCACACTGTGCTGAACTCCAGCGGACCTTAACAGTGTCTCAGATGTCGACCGCTGTACTTAACTCCCCCCCCTCTGACCTGTACTACTCCCACCACTCAGCACTGAACACACAGTGTGAGAGAGGAGACGCCACACACAACGGGGAGCACCCAGGAGCAAACACACAGAGCTGTGGTCTTAACATCAGCGTTTGACTTGGACTCATTTCTCAGTTTTCATTCCTTACACACACTCTGCCGCTTCTACCTATCCATCTCACTCAAACATGCACAATCTAAGGGTGTGTCTCTAAGACCCTTTTGCCATTTATCTGCTCATTCTACGGTCCGTTCATCCATCAGGCTGCAACACAATAGGTTGTCCCTGCATGGGACAGGTCGCTCTTCATTAGACTGCCATGGAGAAGACAGAACTCGTACAGGAATCTGATCCCTTGAGCAAATCAACGAGCTCATTGGCTCAACAGACAGGTTCGAACACCTTCCCCCTGGTTTTTACACGAGTGTTGCTGCTTACTGATCCTCAGCATGGTAATTACATAAATTCTAGCTGAATTAGTAAACATTGTGGACGTTGATGGTACTATCACATAACCACCGGAACCCCAGTTATTACGCAATTACCAAACTGCTGTCCCGAAGGAAAATCATCAGCATGAAATTATATTTTATTCACATTTACACAGAGGACAGCACTAGTGCCTGGATCTCCCTGGAGTCTATCTTGCATGTCAACTGGAAGACGACCTCCACTGTTAAATGGTTCCACAGACAGCCTTTCCAGAAGACTGTAAAGATCTTTTCACGTCTTCTGATGCCCCCACCTGCTCACACGTGTTCAGGGAGCTATCTTTGCCCATGGGGACCTGAAGCATATTTTTTCTCTGTGTGTCAGCATATGAGGCGTTTGGGCTACAGGCTGCCTGAGGCCAGCTCTGCAGCAGACTTTTCTAACACCATATGTTGGATGACAATAAAGCTCTAGAGAAGCAGTCACAATGTGGTGGCAGTTGTCCCAAAATATGCAGTGGTGGCTTAATCTGACGCCGACATCTCTGGATTTCTCTGTCTCTCTCTTTCTTTCTCTTTCTTTGTGTTCATGTGTAATTGTGTGAAAGAACATACTGTACATGCATGGGTGCATGTGAAGCAGTCTTCCCTGCTGCCCTATTGATGGCACATGATAAGATACTGCATGCAAAGGAGTAACACTGACTCCAGTAGAGAAGAGAGGCAAAGTTTATGTGTGATAAGCAGGCCTTCTTGGTATTCTATATAGACCTAGCAAAGTGGGCAGAACTCCTTCAGACCATGGTGGACTGGCAGGGGTAAAAAAACATAAAGGGCACCAGCGTGAAGAAAGTTGTGGTGCATTTATTGTGAAACAGTTTAACCAGGGTTAGGATTAGCACCCTAGAGGGCACTTTACCATGTTTTCTCCACTAGAAGGGTACTTCATCGGGTTTTATCTACCATAGGAGCGGCACTTTTGCAGCATTTTTTTGAACATGGAAGCATCCCTTTGAGTCCACCAGTGGCCATCAGTGACAGAGAACAGATGCTGTTCTTACTAACCTGTGTATATACATTTATTTTGCGTTTGGTTTGGCAGTATAAACATCTGTTTCTCGTGCCAATAAAGCCCCTTCGACTTTAACTGAACTGAATTGAAATCATGTCTGCAGTGCCTGATCTCCATTCTGGAGTCTTAGCTGTCATGGAGGAACTTTCATTGCACGATTTTAATATGCTGTCTAGAACTTTCCCCGGTTTCAGAAGCCCAAATGACATATTCTGAACGGTCCACGTTCATTGTTCCCATGGTGCAGATCATAATAAGGTGAGAAACAATATGCCACAGGACAATGCTCCCTGTATATCCTGGAGAATATGCAGTTCAACTCCCACTCACTCTCTGAGTCGCTGATGCCGCTGTCGCTGACGCTGGCGCTGCTCCTCCTCTTCACGGTCTTCAGGTGCTCGTCGTACCTGAAGTGTCGCTTCTCCACCGGCGACGTGAAGTCCTCGATCACCGCGTCAAACTCGCACAGCACGTCGGTCAAATCCTCCTCGTTGACGAACTTTGCTGCGAGAAAAATGCCAGAAAAACTAAATGAAACTTTTTCAGCTGATCCAGGGATGGACATTTAATCTAGCAGCAAATATATGATACAGCAGGACAATATGAACATGTGACTGAGAGGTGAAAGGTAGTCCAGTATGAAAAAAACATTAAATGCATGATCATAATAAACGCCCGATAGTATTCCCTATTGGAATATTATATTTAAATCCTTCCTCTTTGAACCTCTAGTGGCAAGGAGTGCGTAAACAGTCGTGCTATTGAATTAAAATAACCATGGATGGAAAAGCAAATAAATATTTACCTTGAGGTTTCAACTTTGGAGACTTCATCATTGAGATCAGTAATGAGATGATCCTGTACCGTCCTGAATAGATATATGTCCCTCAGTGTTAAAGTCCCACTCTGTCCCACTCCTGAAGGTCTTGAACTAACCCTGCAGCCCGGGGACCGCCGCTTTTTAATGAGTGCTGCTCGGTGGGGGCGGTGACGACAGCAGCACGGAAGGAGAGTGAGTGTGTGTGTGTGTGTGTGTGTCGGTTATAGTTACACTCCCCTGACGTGTCCCTCATAAAAGTATGTTTGTAAACAACTTATGTGTCACTTGACCGGCAGAGGTGTAATACACACATATTTATAATCGTGAGCCAGAGCATTTCACGTTTTATTGCCGGGCAGATCAGACAGAACGGGGACAACGTGTGATTAACAGACAGACAGGTCATTAGGAACAGTTTCAGATATGGGGCCTCAAAATTAAAGCTGCAGTAGGTAACATTTATAAAAATATCTTTGTGTCATTATTGCTGAAACTTTCACGATATCCTGACAGTAGTACATGAGACAGATTAGACATTAGGAGCACTAGGAACCAGAGGAACCAGATTTTTTCACAGATGATCTGTCTCATGTCTTTTTTAAATAATAATTACCTAACTGAATGTAAAAAACAGTAACCTAATTGCAATTTTAGGGTGTACCTAACTAGATGGTAACAATTCTACCTCTACTTCTCCAGAAGCAGACATTATTTTTACTCCACTACATTTATCTAATAGTGATGGTTACAAATAATGATTTGGCAAAATATATTCATAAGGATATTACTTTCAGTCTATTGTTTTTTTGTTGTTTATCCAAATGTCTATTGTCTATATGCAATTCGCACATAAAGACATATAAGATAATACAGATGCTTATTTAATTACTGATGGAATGTATGGCACAAATAAAAAGTAAAAAAGCAAATAAACATACAAAGCAAGTGATCATCTAATAAAACATTATTATATTGTTATAGATTTACCTACGAGTATGATAAAGTATACAAAATTAGCTTGACTTGCTGCCAGTTAAAACATTAAAATTCTGCTTACAATTTAATGCATCAGTAACAAGTGGATATGAAAGGTGCCATTCTACCTCCAAAATCATACTTCTTGTACATTTTGAGGTTTTTTTTTACATTGAGTAAAGGATCTAAATATTTCCTTCACCATTAATATTTAACACAGTCAGACCTTAGTTGCCTCAGTTAGAAGGAAGTCATCTGGTACAAAATTATCTCCAGTGATCTTATCAGGTGGAGGTCTATCAGACCAAACCTTATCACACTGACATGAAAATGTTTTGTCTAGACCTGATCTCTGGCAAAGGTGAGGCAAGAGCGACATCTGGTGGTGCGCTGTCGCCACTGCATCTCGTGTTTTTATACCTCTAAATGAGTCATTTCCTTGCTTTATGTATGGTGCAGAATACAAATGCTTGAGCTTGGCAGCTGGAAACAGCAGTTGACGAAACAATCACAACTGTGTGATACAGTGGAAAGGTCTGAAACAAGAAAGTAATCAGCTACAGCTATATTGGCTTGGTGTTAATGTTTCTTAGACACAAAATGAAATCTTGTTCTCTAAGATTGTGTCTGGAGTCTGTATGAGCTGCTGGGTGGCCTTTTTAACTGAATAATCTGTTAAAATCTCATTGAACAAGACACTAAACATGTACCAGCCCTGACCCCTGCAATGAGAGTTTCCCAACAATAAAGTGCCACATTAAAATTATTATGCTTAGTATTTCCACAGACTAACAGCTGCTTCTCATCAGTAACCAAAGGCCCAGACAGCCAGTTGTCCAATTAAACTATCTGTGAGTTAATTTGTCTTCACAGATCAGTAGCACGCAGGGCAGCCATGCTGAGACTTTCACACCTCCAGTGCCCAGTTTAACATGATCAGCAAATGGATCAGCATGCCATGTGTTTGCAGCTGCACGTGTCTGTTGACTCTGGAGGCCCTGAGGTGCCACTTAACGATGGACGAGGCCCTCATCTGAGGTGCTAAAAGTGACACCTTCAAGACACTGTGAGAAGATATCAGTGCTCACATACTTAGCATAACAAGACGGGCAGAATCCATTCATTTATGTGCTCATAAATCACTCAGGGGGACACTGAAAGAGAAGAATGGTAATCATATTTATTGAAAAATAAATTACATGATCAGTACTTACATATTTACATTCATTTTCTTTCATTTCTGATTAACAAAACGCCCTATATCAGCTTAAAAATGCAACTAGTATTTCAAAAACACATACAACTATTGACAAAAGTGTTAGGATTACTAGTACATATTAGCAATGAGTTTTATAGTTCCTTCTGGACATTTATCTATATAATAGACCACTTTACACTTATTAGTTTGTAACAGGCTGAAATTTCCCAGTGACAGGAGTCCTAATTTATGTAGCATTTGAGTTTCACAAACTGTATTACATAACATTACATAATAAATGGCCTCAGTAATAAATATATGTATGTGTTTGCTTGTGCCTGCACTCAGAAGGATGTAATGCTGAGTATTTATGTATGTAACATTCTCCATACATGACTGACAGAAGTAGAAGTGCATATGTCTGAGCGTACACTACATGTGTGTTTCATTGTGTATATTTGGCACTGGTCCACCAGCATAAAAGTTCAAGATACAATTGCAATGAAAAAAGTGTGCATCCGATACAACTGGGGATGAAACTGGGATAAATTCTTCTTCAACATTGCATTTGTGAAATCCAATTTGTTAGTAGAAGCCCTATACCTTTATTATTCAAAAATGCAATCAGTGATTTAATATTTAGGGTGATCCCTTCTCTATAAACTGTTTCCAAAGCAAGAAGAACCAAAGAAATAAAATCAAACTATTTGCATGACATGATATTGTGTTGAATTGCATTGTGTTAAATCCAATCATCTCCAATTGCACTACATTGCAATAGGGGTGAATTGTATTGCATCACATTGATAGTTGCTTCATATGTATCTGACCGTTGGCAATGCAATGAGATGTGAGATGCAAGGTTGTTTGGTTTTTGGTATCAAGGAATCCTAAATTGATACAGATTTGATATCAGGCTGCAGACCCATATTCAATGGGATGTAGTCTCAGGGATCCCTGTGGAAAGTGTGAAACCTATGAACAGATAGTCATTCTTATACATTCTGTCATTTGGATAAATTCTGAAATAGTGAAATTAAAATATTTCCTATTTGTCTGGGGAAGCCCTTCAAGGACCGCAGGTGGTCTCTGACCCTAGGATGAGAACCACCACCCTAGTTGACCTGACTTGTTTATCACTCAAAGTCACAGCCCAGCAGTTCTATTCTCATGGTGATGGCGCCCATCCAGCTTTTGGGGATGATTCGGATGAAGCGGGAAAAGATAGGAGGGTAGATGTACTTCTTCACATGGTCGTTGTTATCAGTGTTTCCAAAAAAAGTCTGGATTTGATGAGAGAGAGAAAGATATTGTTTAGAATCATTGCTTCTCTACTACCGTTAAACAAAAAATCCAGTTACCAGTGAACTGGCTCACCTTGAACGGGAGGCCCTCATCATCTGTGTAATCTTTCCAGTGTATCCCATTGTTGCTGTACTGCAGAATGTAGGAGATAACATACATCTCTTTCCCCAGAGACTTGGCTCCTTGTGTTATGATACCTGTGATCTTCCTAATTTGGGGCAGCTCCACCTGAAGCCACTGGTTCATGTCATTATGCTGTGGATGAGAGAGATTGTGTGCTATTTCAAGGGACAGTTTCAAGGGATTTCTGGAGTTGCGGTTCTAGACTGCTGAGATCCTGTGTTACAAGAACAGTGACATTCTATATGTTCTACCTGATACTCAAAGTTAATTTGACCACATTAATTTTGATGCCTCATGTCAGTATTAAGATTTGTACCTTTGCCTGCCATGCATTGACAGCACCTTGTCTGTTGAGGCGCGCAAGGGAGGGTCTCCATGGTCCCGAATACCAGCTGGAAGCTACGGAGCTGGCTGTGATGTGATGGTCTTCTATCTGTCCACTCTCCATCCCAAGAGGAACTGAGCAGCCTGAGGAAAGAGATTAGAAATGTCACATTTAAGTAATTGTAGACAAGGAGAAAATATTGTTGGGACATGCATTTGGGTGACATCTGCCAAGCACTGGAAATCAGTGTCAGGTCAATACATGATTTGCTCCAGAGATAGCAGATGTATAGTTAACAAGAGGGGATCCAAAATAGATCCTTGGGGGACCCCACAAACTAGAGAAGCACACAACTACAGAGAAGGACCTATTTGAAAGATAGGACTTAAACCAATGTAGCACCACATCACTGATGTCAACATAGTTTTTCAGGCGACTGATTAAAAGAGCGATGTAGATGCAAATCACAAATCCCTTGCTTCACCTTCCCCTTCTAGAGACAAAGGAGAAACTACAGTGGCTGAGAAACGTAAAATAAAAATGTGAACACCTATATCTAGAGCCAGTGTTTGGTTTGAGCCTTCTGGGCTACTGTAGAAACATGGCGGTTCAACATGGCAGGCTCCATGGAAGGCGACCCATGGCATCTGTATATATAAACAGCTCATTCTATGGTAACCAAAACATAACAATTGTCATATTCAGGTGATTATACACTAATGAAAACATACCTATGAATATTATATTAGATCTGACAATAGATCCTCCTAAAGTCGGCTGCAATAGGTAAATCATTGGTGACCTTGACCAGAGCAGTCTGATTGTTGTTCATGAAATAAAGTTTTTGGAGATTTTTTTCCCCATAACCTTCAATAAAAATGGCAGCTTGGAGATGGGTCTAAAATGACATAAAACAGAGAGATAAGGAGAGGGCTTGGATTGTGACCCTGTTTAGCGATCAGTTAAAAAAAATAGGTGTTAGGGAGGTGCTACTAGTGTATAAATGGATATAAAGTATTTCAAAAATGTATGATGACTTGCATTCTGACTTGTCCACATCCACACACACATACAGTAACATCTTACCATCGAGCTCACAGCCATAGAACTCCATGCGGACTGTGGCCTTGTTGTACCAGTTGATAGGATGGAGCCTAATGAACCGTCCAACCACGGGAGGAAAGAAGGTGTTTTTCTTTGTCTCATAGGGTTCCTGGTTCCCAGTGAACATCTGGTGCAATATGGAGAGACAGACAGAGGGATATAAGGTGATCACACACTTCTCTTTGAGTTTGTAGCTTTTTGCTTTGATCAAGGAGATGATCCAACTTCCCCCACCTTCCTGAGGTCCCTGCTCTCGCCTTTATAAAAGACCCACTTCCGGCGATCAGTGCTGTAGGAGATAGAGTAATTGACCACATACTGGGGTTGGAACAGCTGCTTGGCTCCCTGGGTGGCCACCTGGCTGATCACAACTGGCCTCTGGAAGTCCACCTGTACAGAGGGAAGCCCAAAGGTAGCAGATTGTATTCACATAGAATGCAAGTGCACATATACAGATCTAGTCACACATTTATTACGCCTACAACACATACCTGAATCCAGCTGGAGGTCTTGTCTGTGCTCCATGCGTTGTATTTACCCTGATTGTTCAATCTGGCAAGATGGGGATCCCAGTTTCCTTCAAAGATGGAAACCAATTCATTAATTTTTCACTTATTTGCATACAAAGATTCACTGCAATACTTCACAAACCAATGTAGCATTGTAGGACCAGAATGTATTTGTTGCCAAAAACAAATGGGTGCAGACAGGAGGAGGTATGACTACCTCTACTGTTGTTTGCTGTGATCTGGTCATTTTTCACACTGCCTGATTCCAGACCCAGCGGACGGTAGCAGTCTTGGAAGAACATACAATTTATATCTCAATATTAAAACATAACATACGTAACAGTGTGTCAGTGTACTTAAATGTGTAAATGCTGGAGAGTATTTTTTTTTCATCGTTTGTACCATTATCTAGAACCAGGAAGAGAGTCTGCATGCCCTTCTCTTGGTTGAAACCAACTTCGGTCTCCAGCTGCCACAAGCCAGGTTTGGATGGATACATCTCCAGAGTGGCAAAGCTCCCTGCAAAGACAGTTTGGTACAGTAATTAAGTTGAAACACACTGTCTTTGCTACGTTGTTGACATCAAATATAACCAGTAGTTTTGACGTATCGTCACTTAAGATACTGAAGCGTGTGACTTCTATGCAAAACTCAGTACTCAGTATTTGTACTCACTATGGCTGAGGCTTAAAGCTGACGTGGGTTGATCTTAAACTGGTGGGCGGGCCTAACTGGAAGTTTTTCATTTGTGCTTGAAACTGATATTAATTGATCTCTAGTTGCTATAATTATTTGAAAAAACTATTTACAGAACAGTCTTTTTCTAAAAGTTGATATTTTGACACATTTAACTCTGATGATACTCTGATGACAGTACATTATCTGTACCTGATACTCAGCCAAGAACTTGCTCAACCCTGCTTAAGCATCAATATCTGAATTTTCTTTTCATACAAAGATTATATTGCTCACCAGGCAGCAGTGGGTAAACGGCCTGTCTGTAGCTGGTGGTCTTCTTGTAGAGGAATGTCTGTCCGTGGAAGTGGACACTCTGAAAGTCTTTGGGGGAACCCATGTTGATCAGGTGCCAGCCTACGAGCTGGTTGGTGTACATTCTCAGTCCCTTAAGGTTGTATATAATGCCATTAATGGCTTTGGAAACAGCGGACAAAAAGACATCATTATCATTATCATTTCTGGTCAGGCGTCTTTGTTTTTCTGTTCTGTAACTGACAAGTCTTAAATGCATGGAAGAAAAGATATTGCAACTAAATTTTACTGTATTTTGACCCAGTGATATGATGGAGGAGGTACTTCCTCTGTGTAATTTAACATGCTACATGATTCTTGATTGTTCAACCAGGTTAGTTAAAGGTACATAATGCATTACAATGAAACTTGAGGTTCTCCTTGAAGTTGGGGTCCATAACTCTCCTTCTGCTTTTTCTCTGCATGAGCTCATGGTTCTTCTCGAAGTACCAGCTCTGCGACTCATCAAAGGTCATGAAAAGCAGTGTGAACTCCCTCATGTCTGCTAGCCCTTTGTCCAGGGTGCCCTCTCGGCACACCAGCAGAGGCCCAATCAAGCCAGAGTGGATATCCCTTTCCTAAGGAACAGAGCATACGCTAGGTTTAATGTTAGTTTTTAAAAAGGTAAATGAATTTCCCTGTGCTAAACCCAGACACATACTTTAATGTATCACAAAACTCTATGTGTAGAACCTGTATGTGATTTAGCATCACTCAAAATTTCTGATGGCATAAGTTTATGGAAAAATGACACACCCTGTTGGTGAAAATATTGTTTTCTTATGCTGCTACTAGGTGGCGCCAAAGTCACAAACTCAAAGTCTACATACAATGGCTTTAATTTGTATTTGTAAATAGTATATCTTCAATGCCTTCCACACTCAAATATATAGTTATAAGTCCAAAAATATATAAGTGCAAATTACTCACAGGATTAACACCTGAATAGTAGACCCAGGTCCGACAGTTAGACTCATCTGGCATTGGCCCAACCATAGAATTGACCTTCCATATATATGTGAATGTGGTCCCGGGTTGCACCTCATTGTCATATTTATACCAGTACTTAGAGTCATCCTCGTAGGACAGACCCTCAGTCTGCTTGGTATAGGAAACACCATTTGGGTGTATGGAGTATGGACGGCTGGCATTGTTCTTGAACACCACCTACAGGACAAAAAGACACATTCTGTGGTTGGGTAGTCATTTTCGAATAGATACTCATTGATTTACTAGACAAAAGTTATATGAAAAGATCAACTAACTCCTATGTCTGTATGGCAAATATACAGCTACAGCTAGACAACAGTTAGCTTAGTTTACCACAAAGACTGTAAACAAGGGAAAGAGCTAGTCCCCCTGCAGGAAATGACTGTGCCTGGCCAAGAAATAGCCCGGCACAAACCCCTCATGAAATGAAGTGTTGTTTTTTCACTATGGGTTTTTATACAGATCAGACAAGTTAAATTTAATCAAAGACTGTGTGTTATATAAAAATGTACCCGTACAGTTGTCATGCATGGGGAAATTACTATTTTTACCAGTCTGTCCGCTGTAAAGTTGGGCATTTTAATATGGAACCATATGGAGATTGACTCACTGCTGGAACCAGCCTCAAGCAACAACCAGACTGTAGATGTAAATTCTACAGTTTATATAAACCAAAAAATAATAGTGAAGCCTTCACACAAAAAATATAATTTGAAAATGTGAGATCCTAGTAAAGCTATACAGATTATGGCTTTGCAGCTGATGCTAACAGGCTTACAATGATGCTTTGTCCAACCTCCGCCTTGATGACGGGTCCCAGGATACCTAGATGCTCCTCTACCTCGCCACGGATATCCGGTGTGATGAAGCTACTGTCCATGTAACTTCGGAAAACCACCTTCGTAAACTTGGTCTGCCTCATGTCTTGTTGCGACTTGTCTAGCCTGCTGTGGTGATAACAGGACCTTATTTCAGCTTTGCATGTGTGTGGATGTGTACTAGCTGTACACTTTTCCAAAGAAATCTGAACAGTCATGTTTTTTCTATTGTCACATGAGCTTTTCTTACTGCTATCTCTAAGCTTACCTCTGTCCGTAGCCAGCATAGTCCCACTCAACCTCCTCTGCAGAAATGAAATAAGTCTTGACATTTGTGCCTGAGAGTTTTAAGAAGTATTTAGTGGTCTCGTCCAGGTTGAGATTCTTGATGTCTTCATGACTGCTGTAGGGGTCTTTGTAGACCACATACTCATATTCATTGGCATTCACACCTTGCTCATCCAACGCTAGATGAGCTGGTTCATCCCCAGGAACATACAGCTCGTAGTCACTGAAACCCGTCCGGGGCACGCCGATGACCACAGGCACGTTATTGAGCTCCTCTTCATCAGAGACAGGCTGTGGAACATTGGGTCGTGACCCACGTGGGGTCATGACTGGATTGAATCCTCGAGGGGAAAACGGTAAGCCACTCCTGGCCTGAGGCTTGTATTCCTTCCTCTTCTTTGTTTTCATGCCTTGGCCCTTCTGGGGCCTCTGTCGGAGGTTCACCTTCTTTGTCTTTTTTGGGGTAGGCGTTGTTTGAGGGGTCTCTTTTCCAAAATATTTCATCATGTAATCAGGAATCTCCATGGGTACAATATGGTGAGTTCCCTCATAAGTCCAGTTGTGCCCCTGCGTTTTGACAGAGGTGGTTTTAATCAAGTCTGTATTGTTTTCTTTAAGGTAGATAAACACTTCTTCAATGCTGTCTGAGGCATGTAGCTTGTCAGAGTTGCTCTTTCTTAGATCATCGTTGGAATGGTACAGGTTACCTAAAGTCATAGTCTCATTGGAGAAACTCTCTAAAGAGGATGTGTGGTTCAACTTGCCAAGAAGACCTGTGATGTTCTCCCTACTCTCCAAACTCATCTCCTCTGATGAATTTAATCTGGATACATTCACTGTGAATTTCTGTAAGGGCCCTGTTTCGAGCAACATATGTGTCACATTTTCAAGGCTGGAATTGGCTGTTATAGTCCTAATTTCAGAGGAATTCATTTGAAGTCCATTCTCTGGCTCTGCTGTGGCAATTAGAGAGTCATTGTCACTGGTTTTGTTGTCTGTGCCCTCCATCTCTAACCCAAAGATGGTTGAGTTGCTCCTGCTGTTGATGTCACCCTCTCCAACATCAGCCGTCGGAATAGACAACGAATGGTTTGTTCCATCTGCTGACATGTTAACATGGTTATTTGCTGTGTCATCTTTCTTTTTTGACAGAGAGGCAACATTGCCCTCTGTAGCTCTATCCAATTCCAGCATCAGCAGTCTCCACAGTACACCAGAGTAAGAGAACACATCCCCTCTGGTGAGTCTCTCCTCGGGGTCGTCTACCAAGATCGTGCCCACAGAAGTCTGGTTATCACCAGTCACCGTTGCATTCATTCGTTCATTCTCCAAGATGGAACTGGAATTTCCTTGTAATGCTACCGTATGACTGGTAATCTCTGTAGACACATTTCCAACCGTTGATGAACCTGTAGCATTGTGAATTGTTGTGTTCTTTGTGTCAGACAGAGTAACATTATCAAGATTTGAGACAACTACAGAAAAACTGCTATTTATAGTTATACTGTCATTCTTTGGCAATATATTTGGGCTATATAAAGCAGTTGTGTTCTCTGTTTTATTCAGAGAAGAATTGTCAAAAATTGATGTCGTACTACTGTTCGGCATATGTGTTGTATTCTCACTGATATTTTGGGGCTTAAGGTTTAGTCCATCCACCTCTTTCCAGTTTGGGAATAATGTCTCATTTTTTGCATTTGGCTTTTGAATAGATGTCTCATTTTTATTCTTCGACTCTGTGAAATTAAGGGTGATATCTGAATCTCCATCAGGCACATCAATAGCATCATAGTCAAGGAAAGAGAGGTCCAGCACCTCCACATCTGGACTACCAGATTGGTTCTTTAGGGACCTGAGACCCAGTTCATCTGCAAACATTTCTGTGTAACTATCTATCTCCACTGGTGTTTCTTTTGCAGTTTCTGGCTTCTCTTCCTTCTTGTCGACATCTTCCCAGGTTGGAGGCTTCCACACATCAAAATCTATTCCTGGTCTTTCATAGTCATTATACTCATACTGGTAGTCACGAAAGCACTCAACATCCTGAAACTTTACACGCATTCCTTTGGTTGTCTCGTGGGAATTCAGGGAGGCCAGGAGCCAGACACCTGGTTCAAGAGAGACAAACAAAAATCATCCATGAAAGGGACCTTTAAAAAAAACATTGTTAACTATCAATAGTCTCTATGGATCACAAAATCAGATGAAAATCTATCTTGCTAGACTATGCATTTGTGGCCAATACAGTGGTAGCTGACCAATCAGCATCTTTTGAGGAAGTACTGGCAGCTATGGGGGTGGGTGCTAGGTGTGACCCAGCAGAAAGCGTGTTTGTTAAACAACAATGGCGGCTGCTAAAGAGGTTAGCATAGATGCAGTTCTATCAGAAGTATTTCTTTATCGAAAGAAGAGGAAAGAATGGCACTGAAGGCTTTTTTCCATGGAAAAGATGTTTTCTTCTCCTGACTGACAGTTTGACTACATTATATGGTTTGTTGATCTGCTAGGTTAAAGTTCACCCATGACAGACGGTGATAGACAGATGGTTCATCCAATCACCTGCCGAATATTTTTTCAAACAGTTTCTAACAATGGCGCAGTCAGATGTAGCACTTAGTATCAACAGTTTTATATATAAACAGTATATTAAGTTTCTGTTGTCACAATGTTTTTTTTATGTTTGAATGATCCCTATAGATTGAATATTTGCATACACAATACACAGTTTGATATAAAAAAGGCACTATAAACCCTGACTGACCAATGTTGTCCATGTTCATATTGATGGTCTCTCCAGTCATGGGGTAGAGGCTGAGCATGTCCTCGGTGCGTTCATTCAGCTCAAATGTATGGCCGTAGAAAGTAGCTGTCTGGATGTAGTCCTGTGCTCCAATGCTGGACATGTGCCACGTTGCAACCTCACCATTGCAGAAGCCCAAGAGTGGGCCGCTCTCAAACACATAACCGTTAATTGCTGTAAGGAAATTTACATGAATACTATTAGTCGCCTGACAGGCAGATGAAAGCAATGCATATCATATATCATCTGATTATGGTAAAACTCACTATGCATAACATTGGACTTATAAAAGTCTGGGTCTGCCTTGTTGACTTTGGATCGATCACAGTATTGGCGAATGTTTTCATCCAGGTACCAGCTCTTATTCTCATCGAACACAGCAAACATGGCATGCTGCTCCTTGTCTGCTTTCAGCTGTGGAAACAAAACAAAACCTCTATTAATTTTCAAATATCTTTAGTCATATCTAGTAGGAATGAGTAAATTTTTTAGACTGATCTGAAATATACATCTTAACTTTATATGTTAGGGCGCCTGGTTAGCTCAGTCGGTAGAGCTGGCGACCCATATACGGAGTTGCTGCCGCAGCCTGGGTTTGAATCCGACCTGCGGCCCTTTGCTGCGTGTCATCCCCTCTCTCCCCACCCACCCTCCCTGTTTCTCTACAGCTGTCTCTATAGATAAAGCCAACAAAAGGCTAAAAAAATAACTTTATATGTTAATCTACAAATGCAAAATAAAGGTTTTCCTGTGTTCAACACAGCTCTGGGAGGTATTACTTAGACACAGCTCAGCTAACATGCTCATAAAGACAATGCTTACATGATGTTAAGCAAGTATATTTTTTAACATGCTAACATGAACATAATAAGCACTAAAAACAAAATACAGCTGAGGTTGATGGGAGTACCATTAATTTTGAAGGGATTTGGACACATACCAGTAGAATTGGACTAATTTCAGCTATCATGGCAGTCAAATCAATAGTTTCACAAAACAAACCAAATGTAAATTTACCTTTCACTTGTCTAGGCACAAACTCCCAAAGAGAGTTATAGAAAAGTGCATGCTATAAGGGATAGTTAAGTTACTTCAGTCAGCCATAACATGGCTAGATAAGCATAGGCATAATAGTTGCTGAAAAGCCGTGTACTGTGTTCGCTGTGACAGAGAAGAGAAATAAAAGTTTCCTGTTCATGCAATGTTACAACGGTGGTGATATATTTGTATCTGCCAAAGGTACAGAGTAGTATGCAGATGATTACAGACAGCATCTTTGACTGATTTTATTTTAATATGATATGCAATACGATGCGATACAATATACAGATCTGGATACAGATCTACGAACTTGAACACCATTGGATTTTTCCGGATGCAGGTCTTTTGGCCAGTGAATTGTGTGAAAGCCTAGTTACCAGGCTATGAGCCAGGCTAAAGTAAATTATAATAACCTTAAAAAAAGGTTTCCCAACATGGTTTAGACCTGTGGATCTGGAAAGGCACTTGAAGAAGTGAATCAGATGATTGATCACAGAATGTTTGCTTTTCTTATGTGTGTTTTACCGTGGTGACCTGCCATGAAAAAACTTTACCAGCAGAAAAGCTGTGAGTAATGTGTGGCATAACATATTTTTGGGGGGGTTTTTTGTCTAATGAGGCAAATAAATTCCACTTGCTTTGCAAAAAATCCACCTGGACAAGCAGAAAAGCTTTGATATGAAGACCTGCCACAAATTTCCACCTCAGAGTGGTGCTAGAGGAAAAGTCAATGTATCATGAAAGTCAGAATGGATTCATCCTCTGGTGACCATGAGTGAAATCCATTAAATAGTTATTTTTGAAATGTCAGTCTAGTGGTGGACCAACCAATTGACAAACAGACTAAAATTGCCAATGCCACTAGCACGACTACAAGTGAATGTAGAATCTTTGTACCTGCACGTTCCTGACGTTGAGGGACTGACTCTTGCAGATGAGGATCGGTCCGATCAGTCCTGAGGCGATGTCGCGTGGTGTGTCCACTGCACTGTGGTACATTCGCGTCAGACATCGAGAGTCTCCCTCCAAAGGCTCATCCTCTTCGACCACTCTCCATATGTAGGTGTGTGTCTCACCTGGCTGAACACCATGGGACTGGTTGCCTGGCAACAACATTGCGATATACCTCATCAATTTTATTGTCATCGTAAGCCAACTAGAGGGGGATACTATACCCAAGTGTTCAATCAATTTGTTTTACAGTAAAGAGATTGAGTACCTCCTGTTGGGTAGTTGACTCCCTCTTCTGACTTCTCTATAGTCAGTCCATGTGGATAGATGCTGTAGGGCCTGGAGGCCATGTTCTTAAAAACAATCTAATCAGTCAAAAAGGACAGACGGAAGTGAGAGGACATGCAGTCTGTAGACAATGACAAAGATTATGCCTGGAGACCTTAAGTCCAGAATGAAAGTATTATTGATTCATGAGTTGGCTCTGTTCTCTTTGTCACAGTTAAAGTGCTGACTGTCAGTTTGAATTTGATAGTGTTTGTATCCACAGCAGTTGAACAGTGTAGGAACTGTAGCAAATTTCATATTTCAAATTTGCTACAGTTCCTGAAACAGTTACGGACATTAACATAAATAAAAAACGTATATCTTAAATACTGATTTGCAAATCCTTTGCTGTCATCAGATGAAATCAATGAAGTGTGTTATGTCACTCTATGTTCTCACCGTGATGACATCTCTGATTTGTGCTCTGATCACCGGGCCCAAGATCCCAAGCTCATTTTTCCTTTGCTTGCTCTCCATTCTTTCAGTGAATGACTCATTTTGATACTGCGTGTACACTGCCTTCCTGTATTTCCTTCCTATGCGTGTTGGTGACTGCCTCAGGTACTGAAACTTGAAGTCCCTGCACAAAAAGGTCAAAGGTTTTATTTCATTTTGAAACACTGATATCATTTTAAGCTGTGTGGCACTTTTTCTCTAGCTTTTATCCTTATCTTGTGCAAAACTGTTCTTCTAGTTCAAATAGAACTTAAAGAGATGAGGGATTCTCTTCAGGGATGTAGCAGAGTCAAACATAGAAAATAGCCTCTTCAGTAAACCAAAACTGGAAAGAACACCCTGTTTCAGCAGCACTATTATAGTCTCCCTTTTGACAGTTAACAAAGCCATGTATATCAGGGATATCTGATTAGTTTGTACTTAAAAAATGCTGTGAAATGTATATATCTGTAAATTCTGCTTACTCTTCAATGTGTTCGTGCATGTTAGGTGAGTAGTCCCAGACAATTTCTTCAGCAGCTATGTAGTATTTCCACTCCTTGCTGTGTCGTCTTTGTTCTATTGTCATCTTTCGCCGCGGTGCTTTGAAGTCATCACACTTTTTCACGTCCACAAAACCATGCATGCCAGCTGCAATGACAGAAACAGACATTTTTTTCTTGTAAATTTAATTACATTGGTCAAAACCATTTACCCATGGATCCCTTCATGTCATCTCACCTTCCATGTGCTTGATGGTGTGTGAGGAGAGCAGCCAGCGGCCCGTGTGGAGAGCCACCATGCTGGCAGTGGCAGTGGAGCCACTGATCAGGCCCACCGATGACATTTTATGCCCAGTCTGCTGCAGAACCTGCCCGTTCATATGCACCGAGAACACCTCTGGCTCAGAGCTCATACCCATCAGATGCAGGCTCACAGAGGCATGGGCACACACACTGACATCTGGAAGGAAAAGAGGAAACTTTGTGTATTTTATCTTGTTTATGCAGGCCATCTGGTGAATGTTTTTACCGACTGTACACCACATACACCAGTCACCATAAATCTGTATGCATGGGGCAGGAAGCATTCCGTTGTAAACTAATGGATTACTAGTAAAACTCCTGTGTTCCAAAGCAAAAGGAAGTGTTGCTAAAGTTTCACCATGGAGAGTGGTTATAATGGATTAACTAAGTAATGCTTAAGTACACAATAAGGTTTTCTGATGTAGGGTTAGGACAAGCTGGAGACAAAGATTGCCAAAAAGTGCATTATTCCATTTATACAAAAGATACTTATCAAGCATAGGAACAATTATTTGATAAGTTGACCAACATAAAACTAATAAAGAAGAAATCAGTTAATAGTTTTCTAGCAAAAAAGTAAAAAAAAACTAGTTCCAGCTTTTCAAGTGTGAGGATTTGCATCTCTTCTCTGTTTTCAAGCCATCTGAAGACATCATCGGTTCTGGGAAATTGTGATGGGCAGTTTTTATTATTTTGTTACTTGTTAAAATGATTAATCCAAAAATAATCAAGAGACCACTTCATAATGAAAATATTGGTGCGTTCCAGTCCTACACTCTTGGGTGTAACAACGCATTCATTGGGGGTGCATACTGAAAAAAACAAAACCAATCAGTCCTCAGCAACACACAGTAGATTATATGTAAGAATATATGATTATGTTTATTTTTAATGTATTTCTGTTTGTTGGTCATTATCACAGGGAATCACAGACTATTCCTTTAAATGTGAATTCAAATGTCAATATGGTCCACAAAACTACATTCTAAATGTGCACATTTTCATAAATATCACAGAACTGTGGATAATGCACAAAAAAATCTGCTCTGATTTGGATCCCCTTAATGACCATGGTTAAGCCCTTGCTTACACTTATCAAACAAAAGAGTGTGTTCAAGTTGTCCATGTCTGTAGTCAGTAACCCATGGTTGTATGAAGCGTCAACATTGTTGTTATGGTTACAGTTTAATATACTGTGCAGACTGACGAACAGAGGTTTGACTATAAACAGAACTAAGTCTGTGTCCTGATGATACACAGTTTTAACGCACATCACCAACAAGTTTTTATTGCTGTGATATAATGTATATCTTTATGTTTGAGGTCCAGATGGTGCTCTAGTAACTTCAACTATTTCAACTATTTACAGTGTTGGGTAGTTAACTCTACAGTGTAGTAATTTGTCAGATAAGTATGATTTTACATGTTTTGTATGGAACTCATTATCGGCACAGTAACTGTCAAATTAATTATAAAAAACAATAGTTCCCTCTGAAATTTAGTCGAGCAACAGATGCCAGAAATGGATTTTCAAGTGATCTGCATATCAAGTTTTAAAAAATCTGACCAAGTAACTGACTGGCTCATTGTCTAACTCAATGAATGAAAAAATAACTGCTAGAAGGACTAACCGGGTAGCGAGCCCTCTGTGAATCCGTTGATGGTGTATTTGACGTGGTCATCTGAGGCGCGGCCCTTTGGTTTGTACTTGCTCACTTTCTCATCGAAAACACCAAAGAGGAACACATACTCCTGGTGGACGCCAACCTGCTTCCCCGACTCATCCAGACTGCCTGCAGAAAGAGAGACATCAAAATAATGCCCAAATCATTTAGGTGCAGCAGTGACTGATATTCTGTGATTTTCAGAGCCACATTTTACCACTTACCAGGCTTGCAGACGAGTAAAGAACCAATGAGGCCTGAGTTGTAGTCCTCCACAACATTTTGGTGGGAGATGTAGGTGTAGGTGAGACAGGTAGGGTCATTTGGCTGTGGAGAAACATCTGATGTCACCTCCCAGTAGTAAACGTGTTCTCTGTTAGGCTTCACCATGTCATCCTCTTTCTCTTTCTGTGATGTGTTGTCAAAGTAGTTAGCTCCTGCAGGAAGTTTGAATACGAATGTACATAAATAAGACATGTAAAAAGACATATACAATATATGTGAATTTGCTTGGAACAATAATGTGTGTATGATATGTTTTTCCCCCAAAAAACTATAATTTCCACATTAAAATCCTTAAACAGTAATCTCCTTCTTCTGCCTCATTAAAACTTCCAGAATCTCTGAATATACAAATGTTGTTGATTTCTAAAGTTTTCCTGCTGGACACAAGATGTCTCCTACTTCACTGTAAAGTCCATTCTCAGTGGATGTGCACTGGTGGATTCAAGTTTCTACATCACACTGTACAAGTTGATACTGGACCAGGACTGACTTCCTGACTATTTGTGATGTCACAAATCCTGCTGGTAGGCCCCGCCCCTTAAAATCCGATTTTCAATGAGCACAGAGAAACTTTCCACTTTCAGCAGATGAATGTGAAAACATCCTTCTAGAGTCAAACTCTGCACAGACAGCATTCAGACAGCACGCTGTAGGAACAAGGAGAAACACTGATTTCTGAATGGAGGGGAGCTTTAACCAAGCAGGTGCCTGAGGTCATTATTGACTTTCATAACAAAGTTTGTGAAATGACATTCCACTCAAGCCTAAAAAATAATGAAGACTTAATGAAGACTTCCCTGTAAGCTCTTCTTTAGTTTTCACTTCCTCTGCAGTCTGAGTTTTTCATTAGAAGTGAGTAAAGGAGGGCTTAGTGTTAATTTCCGACATCTTCAAAGGCACTAATGTCTTGTTATTTGTCTCTATGTGAATGGACCCAGAGTGATTTCCTAAGGCTCAGCAAAGCGTCCTGCTGGACTTCAGTACTGCCTCCTTTGATAATCTGCCTGTACTGGTTAATATTTTAGAAAAAGACAAACAAGCGTGTTTGTTGTGTTGGCCAATCTTGTGTAATTATTGGATGAGTAACATCGCAAGCACCCACAGTGACCCTTACAGACAGCGCTGTGGAGTGTTACTGGTGTCTTCAGGTTTACCACAGCTGTCAGGTTTCATCTGCAGCTGGTCTAACAGTTACCCACCCTCTGACTGTTTCCCATAAGCAACCCCGTGTGGGTGGATGCTGTGTGGTCCAGTCGCCATGTTTCGGAAAGTGACGACAATCGTCTCCCCCTCCTCTGCCCTCAGTGTGGGTCCGAGCAGCCCTGCAGAGAGAGACAGTTTATTTGGGATCACTTGGTACATCCTCACAACACAGTGGAACAAAGTGTCATACTGACTCATTACTCCTTTTCTGTTATTGTTGGTGATTCACTGACGTTATTGAGCAGGAAATATCATTTCAACATTGGCCCATTAACTGTAACGTACAAGCATGATGATATATGATGATATTTAGCCTATCTGGTTCTGCTTTATATTTCTTATTTGGCAAATTGTTATTTCATAAGAACATTTCTGAAAAGCAAAATGTACTTTGGTAACTAACCCATTAATGTCTACAGTGGAATTTTATAATTTCCTTTACAGCACTTACAGTACTAGCTGAGCTAAGCACAAAATTCTTCAAATTTGTAAAAAAAAAAAAAAAAAAGTATCTTAAAAAGATTTTTCTTATCGTACTTTTTTAGTCCCAGAATTTTTAGACCTTAGAGACATTTTATAATGTATATATGGGATGAAATAAGTACCCCCATATATATAGTGTGATACAGAAATAGCTGTATTTCAAAAAATACAAGTAGTTATATCAAATGCTTGGTACCACTGGATTCAGAACAACAAATTACTTATTTTTGTTATTTGTTATTTTTGTTATTTGTGTTTTAAAAAGAAAGTCAACTTTGCCTCCCAATTAAGGCATGATAACGATGTGAAATCAGTAATTTAAAATTTTGTGTTCCATAGCAGATTTTGTGTTTCCACCTTAAACAGAAAAAAAGATCTGCAGGGCTTTCCCTTAACATACTATCATCATTAAAGCTGCAGTCAGTCATTTTTTATAACAATAAGTCTTTCTCATATTTTCTGAAACTTTCACTATATCCTGACAGTTATAAAACAGATAAACTGTGAAAATCAGCTTGCTCCTGCTTCTCCTAGTGCTCCTAATGGTATTTGCAACTGACATAAATCTGCAGGTACTTACTAAGCGTACCAGTTGAAAACATTTTAGTTCCCGCTATAAGTACTACAAAATTACATAACTCTTTTTGCGAAACCCGCTGGGAAATAACAGTTATGTGCTGTACATTTCATTTCCTCTCTAAGAAATGATTAAGAAGAGACAGGATGAGTGTTTCTTAGTAATTAGAGCCAGACAGACACAAAGTTTACCTAACCAGGAGGGATGAGTCTTAGCCTGTCTGAAGTCTTTGTCATACTCCCGAAAGACCACTTTCTTATAGGTGGGACCAAACCTATAGTAAGGAACGGGAGGAAAACACAAAACATAAATCAACACACCAGAAGAACACACATCCTGCACACCGCTCTAACAACATATGGACTTTAAGATATGAGGTCACAAGTTTCCTTGTATGTTGCAACTAATGTGTGTGTCATTGTACCGCTGATAGTGCCATAGGATGAAAACCAGTCAAACACAGATTAAACAAGGACAGACTGGACTGTTTTACAAACAAGTTCAATAACAGAATGAGCTCAGGCAGACAGAATTCAGATAAATAATCATAACACAAAAATATAATATAAAATAATAAAATCTCCAAATATTGAGGGAATATCATAATGAAACAAAATACAGTCTTGCATATCTTATTCTTGTCATCTAATATCACAAATCCTTCAACCAGTACCCTACCTGTTTGCGTCATTCCCAGAGTAGTTCCAGTCTATCTCAACGGCAGCAATGTAATAGTGTCTCTCCCTGGGTTGATGCTGGTTTGCTTTGACATGGAGGACAGTCAGAAGAACCAGGACGGGCAGGAGACACCAGGCTCCAGCCTGGGTACAGAGCCTCATATCTGGGATCAATCCTACAGGTGAGACTGGTCTGTTCTTTAAGTGAAGTGAAGAAGCTGTGATCTGACAGAGAGCTCCGCTCCGCGCTTTATCTGTTACTGACAACACAAACACACACACTCACTCTCTCTCTCTCTCTCTCTCTCTCTCTCTCTCACACACACACACACACACACACACACACACACACACACACATTTAAACATGTCCTGGGGCAATGAACTGTCTTGTCACTTTTTTCTTTTTTTCTCCTAATTGACCTCATGTGTTTCGCTGTGAGTCATCCCTTAGGGAGGGTGTGCTTATTCCCATCACTCTTGAAAAAGCACTTTGGGAAGGGGTATTGAGAATGACAGGAAAAATGTATAAAAGAGACCGTCTTGCCCCGACATTTTAACAATGGTAAGTTAGCTGCCCATCCTGCAGCTGCGCAGAGAGCACAGACAAATAACAGAGGTACTTTTATTATTTTGAGATGCTAAGTCATTATTTTGAGTAATTTTGTCATTATAACGACTTACAGAATCCCATTTTCCCGTCACATTGGCGGGAATGGGCTTCCATAGTTTCATGCGCATTCAGGAATAAAAAATAAGAGACATTACAGAAAACATGACACCACAGCACAGAAAACAGCGTTTAAGGGTGAAAAAGCCTATACATCGAAGAAAACATAAAATATTACCCAAAAAGTTCTCAATTAAAAAAAATAGCATTAAAAAACATTGCAGCTTCCTCTCCCAAATTTCACTGAACATTGCAGAATGTAGCACACACACATGTAGCTATGATACAGGGTGCTTGGATATTTTAAAAATGCTGGTTTTACTACCCAAATACAAATTCTTCTTAATGTTATCATCATACGAGCTTCTGACAGAAGATGTGTGAATGAAAAGATGCCTACAAAAGCATACAAACCAGATCTCGTGGGAGACAGGAGATCATATGTCTACAATAATAATAATAATAATAATAATGATGATGATAGTGATATAATTATAATAATAACAATAATAATATATTAATATAATAATAGCAATAATAATAATAATATAATGATAATAATAGCAATAATAATAATAATAATATAATGATAATAATAATAGCAATAATAATAATAATATAGCAATAATAATAATATAATGATAATAATAGCAATAATAATAATAATAATCTTGGAACAGGGCCACTCACTCCTACAGTGCATCCATCTATGATTACATCTATGGAGTAATGGTGTTCCTACACATTAAAAGTGATAATAAATCGCTCAGCTGCTATTTTCACGAGGTTTGTTTGTCAAACGTCAGACATGTCAGACAGACAGACAGACAGACAGACAGAGATAGAACGAAAAGAACCCAGAAAACGTTCAGGTGTGTTCAGGTCTTTATTTAAAGTATTGCTTGAAGGGTATACATTGCATTTGAGTATAATAATAATATATGTAATATATATTATTATTCTAATATAATAATAATTATTATTATTATATTGTTACTGTTATTACTATTCTTATCATTATATTATATTAATATTATATTATTATTATTATAATTATATCACTATCATTATTATGCTTATTATTATTATTATTGTAGACATAGGATCTGCTGTGTCTACCCTTTTTGAATATCAGATATATATCGTATAGAAGTCCGGAATCTTTTCATTCACAAATCTTCTGTCAGAAGCTGGTCTGCTGATAACATTAAGTAGAATTTGTATTTGGGTAGTAAAACCAGTATTTTTAAAATATCCAAGCACCCTGTATCATAGCTACATGTGTGACGTTTTTAACAAATCAATACGTTTGGAAATGGGTCCAAAATCCAGCGAATAATTCTACTTTGAGATTGAGGAGTTCCTCTTTCCTTCGTAGGTTGATGCACCGCTGCCTCTGCTAGCCCTGTTCCAAGATGGCCGCCCTGTAGGCGCGCCGCTCTAGTGGCGGCAGCAGTCGATGCGGCGTTAATGACGTCAACGCGGCACCTGTGCCAATACGCCTGCGCACATTAACCAGGAAGAGCAAGGCTCGGTTGTTTGGTTGCTGTTTGTTTGATGGTGCCTTAAGAGAGTGCTTGAGTTATGTCTCGGAAGAGAGGGATGTAACAAGTAAGTCTGTTTCATATCTCGTTGGCAGTGTTCTCAGTAACAATATAACGTTGTTAAGAATAAAGATTCACAGTAGCGTTATCTTTATCGGAGGTGTTTAGAAACATGGCGGTTGTGGTGCAAATGATGCTAACGTTAGCTCCGAGCACACTGGTACAGTTTGGTACAGTTTGGTACAGTTTGGTTCAGTTTGGTTCAGTTTGGTTCAGTTCTCCTGTTTGTCAGCAGACTAACTTACGGTCTGTCCCTAACAACAAGTGTTACTGTTGTACTTTTGTAGTCAGTATCTTAAGCGCATTACAGCATTGTCAGAGATAGTCTCTGGTTAAGTATAACGTTAGTTTTCCTTTTGGTCTTTTAGGATCATTCTATAAATGTCCACTCTTAAAAGGCCAGTATGTCTTGAAATGTGCTTTCCCCCCTACCATTTAAACGTAGACTGCGTTATTACATACCTCGTCGACTTTATGAATAGAAAGCTTTAATGTGTTTTTTTCAGTCAACAAGTGAACAAGCGTAAAGACAAAAAGGCAGTATTTAGGACTGCTCAGTAAGGCCTCACAATAATGACAGACTTCCAAAAACGTATAAATAAAGTCACTCTTAAGTGAATAAAATCAATAAGGATTATTGATCTTATGTATGTCTCCCTGCAGATCTGAGTGAGCAGAGTGATTATTGGCATTAGTAAATGTTAATAATAATAATAATAATAATAATAATATCATTAGTAACAGGGCTGCATGATGTAATAAAAACGTCATTTTGCAATTATTTTTATAGATATTGCAATTTGCATATTACTTATGTGATTGCACCTGGCTATATTTCAATAATATTTCAAATAATTGTGCAGCCCTAATTATAATAATAATAATTTTATTTATGAAGCACTTTTCAAGCCCAAGCCCTGCTTTTCAGATTAAAAGATATACAGAGCAAAAATTAAAATCAGAAACCCATGTAAGTCACCCCCCATATAAACATGGATACAAATAAAGTACATGAGGACATAATCTGGCAGCACTGAGCTCAGTCTTAACAGGCACTGTGGATAGATCACATTTAGATCACTCTTCATCATTTAAAGAGAGGACGGTACTGACTGCATCTTCACAGGCGACTGCACTTCAGTGGCAGAAGATGCTTTTTTTAATACTTCATCCTGTTGAGAAAACAAGCGTTGATGTCTCGAGATAACAAAATAATAAATAATAATAAATCTGGAGATAACTGCATTAAAAAACAATTGCAAGTTGGAACCAGAACCTTTTTTGCTTGAGAATTGATATGTAGTTATGTTCAATTGTCCGGCTCAGCCTCGCCACTGTCCTATTCAGCTTGGTATTATATCAGCAGAACACTGGAGTTTTGTGTTGTCTGCTTAACAGTTTTCTGACTTCAAAAGTGAGTAAAAGTAAAAGTGAGTGGATACAAAGGGTTATGTGTATGTGCCTGTCTGATCATCCATCGGAAGATTGTTCTAAACACCCAGAAAGAGCAGGACAGGACAGCAGTGGGAGGAGGTTGTGTGGTGCAGTGGGGCAGAAGATAAGAGCTAAATACACCAGTCAGTAGAGTGAGTTGTTCCTGTTATTCAGCCTGCCAACATTGATACAAATGTGGGGGAAAAAAATTATCAAAACACCTGTACAATTCAGCATCACCACAAACTACATCTCTCTCAAACTGAACATTATAACCCTCATGAAGAGAGGATTTATAGAGAACTATCAAGGAGGCTTGAGGACGTTAAATGTTCCACTAATATGCTCCGATCCAATATTGGTATCGGGTGCCGATACTCACAGTTGGATATCAGACTGGCGTCACTGATCTGCCTACTGATCCAGATTCCATATAATGGTGTTTTTACGACAGCTGTCTGGGGCTTTTATGGAGTTTATTCAGTTGACTGCGGTTAATGTGTGTGTGAGGATGAGTGAGAGGAAGAAAGGATGTGAAAGACAGATGGATGTACAGATAGGTGAAAACATGCAAAAAGATAATAGTATCAGCAGATATCCAAATTCAGATATCTGAATCGAGTTGGAACTGATAAAAAGTGTATGGGTGCCTCTCTACTGAATGCCATATCTGTGGCTCAGAGGCAGAGTGGCTCGTCCACTAATCAGAAGGTTGTTGGTTTGATCCCTGGCCCCTTCCGCTGCATTTCGAAGTATCCTTGAGCAAGATACTGAACCCCCAATTGCTCCCGATGCTGTGTCATCGGTGTGTGAATGTGTATGAATGCGCTACTTTCTGTTTGATGGACTTTGCCATCACTGAGTGAATGTCTGTGAAAGGGTGAATGTGGCATGTAGTGTAAAAGTGCTTTGTGGTTGGAAGACTAGAAAGGCGCTATACAAGTACAGGTCCATTTACCATTTTTAGTGAAGTGCAATGAAGCTACTGAGTTTCCAAGTCTAAGAAGAAAAAAAAAAATCTGTGCTTTATGTGCGCCAGCAGGTTTGACAGCACCCAGTTCCTGTCATAGCCATGGTGTGCTGCAAATCCTGCCCCAGACTGTGCTCCCGCTCGTCGGCCTACACTTTGGCCCTCGGCCTGGGCTTCGTCACCTTGGGGACCAGTCGTATCCTGCTGCTCAAGTTCTCTGCCAATGCTGGTGAGTGACAAAGAGACAAATGTTACTTTGTGTTTCCAACAGAGATAATATGATGTGTCAAGTCAGCACACAATTGAAAGGCATGTCATAAAGTGGTTTTAATGTTTTTCTGTGTATTCCACTAAATGTTTGCATCTTTGTGTGTGTGTGTGTGTGTGTGTGTGTGTGGTCAATTTGCAGAGAACAAGTATGACTTCCTCCCTGCGTCCGTCAATCTACTTGCTGAGGCGCTCAAACTGCTCTTCTGTCTGGTTATGTCAGTCAGGGTCATAGTCCGAGGTAATCATTGAACTCATGTTTGTGTGTCTGTGTCTGTGTGGAGGAAAACATAATGTTTATGCGCTCTTTTTCTCTCTTTCTTCAGAGGGACGATCATGCAGAGAGCTGGGCTGCTCCTCCAGCTCTTCCTTCCTCAGCTCCCTGAAGTGGGCTGTCCCCGCTTTCCTCTACTTTCTGGACAACCTCATCATCTTCTATGTGATGACTTACCTGCAGCCTGTTAGTTAATATTTACCTGAAGTAAACATTTAGTGTACTAGCTTTACACTAGGGCTACTGGATGATCCACCTTAACATACAAACCACACCCCTTTTGTAGCTTTTAAGACCCTGTTGGGGAATTCAGTGGATATCTAAATGTAGATTCTGTGTTCTCATATCAATGCCAGCTTTTACCAAATGTTCTGTCCTGCTATTACTGTGCTGTTTTATCTCTTAAGCAGCTGTTCCTCCTCTTATCCACAGGCCATGGCAGTGTTGTTCTCCAACTTTGTCATCTTGACCACAGCTGTACTCTTCAGAATTGTTCTGAAGTAAGTGGCTCGATTGACAACTCTGTAATGTTCTGTTCCTCAGTATGATAGTGTGTATGTTTTTGGGAGTGTGACTGTAGATGAGAGATGTTGAATTTTTCTCACTGTTTTTATGTTGCTTTTCCAGTCCCTTTTACCTTTTTGTGTGGCTTGTTTAGAAGTAATGTATGGAGCCCCTAAAGGGACATGGGGGAAAAAAAAAAAAATGAAACGTTTCTGGTGCTCACGAGGTACTTTCTCATGCTCACGAGAAAAGTATCTTGTGCTCACGCGAAACCTTAGGTTAACCACAGGCAATTGTGCTTCCTGTGCGTATGCCTCTAGGCTCATTAACTGCGGTCAAGCCAGCCGTCACTCCGATCTCCGTGGTCAAATCAGCCGCAGAATTTCGAGTGTTATATATATATATATATATATGTAAGTGTTATATTCTCAGCATTATGGTAATTGCGGGGAAACAGCATATTCACTTCCGGTTTTCACAATAAAGGTATTAAGAACAGTAAGCTATAATTCGAACCTACATTTAAAATAAAATATGTTACATTAAAGTGTTTCATGCGACCTTGATGAATAAAAAACATACTTAATATCAAGCATTTCTACTGCACCAATGTGGAGAAATGCCAAAACAAAAGTTCCATATTTGTACCTCCAAGTGGCATCTTTTCTTATATTATATTACAACCAACGTTTGCTAAGAGCTTGATTGACAGCCTGGTGGTAGCTGTTGTGGCAAATCAACACATGGCTCATTTGAATATTAAAATTAGCCATGTGTTGATAGGTCTCCACACGAAAATGTAACCAATGAAATTACTTATTTTGACACACATTTTTAGCCAATAAGTATTAAACTGACAAGGTAATGTGTCAAAAGGCGGACCTTTTTTGTTATTTTCTCAAAAGGAGGACAGATGAGTGTCTGGCTTAAGGCTGCACCTGTAGCCGGACAGGGCATTTAAAAGCCGGACGAATAGCCACCCTAGTAACGGCTGGCTTGACCGCAGTTAATGAGCCTAGAGGCATACGCACAGGCAGCACAACTGCCTGTGCTTAACCTAAGGTTTCTCGTGCGCACGAGATACTTTCGTGAGCGTGAGAAATGTTTCATTTTTTTTTTTTTCCCATGTCCCTTTAGGGGCTCCGTAGTAATGTATTCCATTTTAACAAAATAATAATACTAATAATGTACTGCACTCCAATGCTAAAGTAAAGCAAGATCACAATTAAGTTGAGTGAAATACTCATTTCATACCATTTTTGGTTTCTCACAGGAGGCGCCTTTCCTGGGTTCAGTGGGCAGCGTTAGTTGTTCTCTTCCTGTCCATTGTTTCCTTGACAACAGGATCGGGGGGCAACCAAAATGCCATAGCTGTGCCAGGACTGCACTCAAACCCCCTCTCCGCCCCCTCCAACTCCTGCCTGCTCTACACACAGCTCCTGGAGCAGATGAGGAACAGCAGGTAGCATGATAATTACAATAAATTAAAGCTGCAGTCTTTTATAAAATTAACTTTTTGTCATATTTTCTGAAACTTTCACTATATCTTGACAGTAGTACATGAGACAGATAATCTGTGGGGAAAAAAAAAAAAAATCCTCCTACCCCTTTTCTACAAAGACAATTTAAGGGCTGGTTTAGAGCCGGTGCCTAAGAACTGGCTTGGCCAGAAAAACTGGTTGTAGCGCAGCACCAAAATCTTTACTGGTTTAGAACTAAGAACTGCTTGCTTGGCTAATGTTGGCTAGCCAACAGCTACCTAGTTGGTCAGCTAGTGTAACCATAACAATAGGTAACATGGGAGGCGTATGCAGTGACTTAATGACGTGGCTCTATGGTGACTCTCTGGAAAACCAAACAGGTTCTTAGAAGGTTCTCAAGTTGAACCGGCACTAGCACCAGCCTAGAACTAGCACTGGGTTCAAGTTGGTGGAAAAGGTCTTCTTGTGCTCCTAATGGTATTTGCATGAGTCCACCACGACTGAATGAAAACAACCAGTCAGAGCTAAGAAAGATAGTTGATTGTTTAGTCTCATTCAAAGGTCGTGGAATACTGACACTAGCTCTGTTGTGTAAAATCAATAGAGATCCCCTTCTGCAGTTTAAAGGAAATATAGTCCCCTTGGACAAAATTATTGTCCATGCTGCAGTGATACTTTTACAGCATGTTTCCTGGTTCATTTTGGAACAAATTCCAGTCCGTTATGTTGTTATTTTTATCTTTTCAACACAGTGCCAGTGAATCATGGGCGTCGTCCCTGCCCGGGCAGGCCTGGAGAGACAGGGTAGTGGGGAAGCTTCGATCTCTGGGTGTGGGTCACATCCTGCTCCTGCTCCAGTGCTTCATCTCTGCCATGGCCAACATCTACAATGAGAAGATACTCAAAGAGGGAGACCAGCTCACAGAGAGCATCTTCATCCAGAACAGTAAATTGTGAGTGCGACTTATAGAGAAAATAAGAAGACAGAAGACACGTGACTAGATTAAATTATTCCACTCTAATCTTTGTCTTTTGCTGCATGATTTTGCAGGTATGCCTTTGGTGTGGTGTTTAATGGTCTGACCCTCGGGCTCGGCAGTGAGGCACGAGGCCTCACCATGCACTGTGGCCTCCTCCATGGACATAACATGTATTCCCTGGGTCTGGTGCTGGTCACTGGTGAGTTAACAGTGGACAAGTAACAGGGCCTCGCATACCTAAATGACAAAATAGCTGATTTGTCTGTGTCTTCTAAAACAACCGATATGAGTGTTTTGTGATCGAATGCCCCTGTGATTAGTTTAGGCAACTAAAACTACTCCATTAAAGGACTAGTACAAAACTTTAGCAAATATACTTATTCGCTTTCTTGCGGAGAGATGGACAAGAGGGTTGACACCACTCCCCTGTCTGTTAAATATGAAGCTATTAGCTGTTTCCCCTTGCTTCTGTTCTTTCCTCTTCTTTGCTGTTGGTCGAGAGTGAAGGAAGAGATGGAGCGAGTGGCTGTAGCAAAAACAAAGCTGTGAATCAGAGGAATAAATTGTTATCTTCTTATTGTTTAATGGCGAGTACGTTCTAAAGCACAAATAAACACACCTCTGCAGAAATCTGTGGGAAGAATTTTGTGTAAATGCAACCGAAGGGCTTCATCCTGTCTGCTGTTTCCCTGCTCTGCTCTGCCTGCCTGTGTGCATGAGTAGCTCAGCCCATAGTATAAAGTTTCAACTATTCACTACAGCCCTACATATTTACCAAAATGTCTACCTACTCCTTTGGGGTTGGGGTAAGATAATGATCGTGGTTAGGGATATGGAAGGATTGTCTTCATTGTCACAAGAAACCAACTTTCTTGGAATTTAAGCCCCTGTTGCTTAGAAAGATGTTGCTGGTGTGAAATGATGCCACACTTCAGACTGTTTCTCTCCGCCATGACTCCTTCTTGTTGCAGCAGCATAAATGCATCAGCTGTCAAAAAAAAAACGGTGGAGCTGGCCGATAAAATGATTAATTTTAATTTACATTTTAAAACGATGCAAAAACGGCTGAATTGTAAAAACAAGATTCAAACTACAAATATTATAATGTGGGGATATACAGCTTTTAAGGACTCAGTAAAACAAGCTTTTTTCTACTCATCTTTACAGAACACATAGAATCATTTCCCCATAGTCTTCCATTGAGGAAAAAAATTCAGTGGTAAGACATTACAGTTGCAGAGTGTTTCACAGTGCGTGGAGATTTTATTTTTAGGCAGTATCGCCCATCGCTACATGCTGCCATCAATAAAAGGAGTTGATAAGCTTGGAGGAATACAATTCTGATTGATCAGACAATTTGGAACAGGTTCCCATCGCTTAAACTTTTCTGGGCCGCGTAGGCATTATTAGCTGTTGTGTATATGGTATGGACAGTGACTGGATAACTGTCTCCAAATAAAAGCTGCTGAGTTAATATAATCAGTAAACACCATTAAGACCTGTCAACTTGCCTGTGAGTATATAAACAAGATAAAAAATTGAAAGTGTGCATTTGAAAACCTCTCCTCTGTCTTCCAGCTGCCCTGGGTTTATCTGTGGCCTTCATCTTGAAATTCAGAGACAACATGTTCCATGTGCTGACAGGCCAGATCACCACCGTTCTGGTCACTGCCCTCTCCCTCTTCCTCTTTGACTTCCGCCCTTCACTGGACTTCTTCCTCCAGGCTCCCATGGTCCTGCTGGCCATCTTTATCTACAACGCCAGTCGGCCCAAGGACCTGGAATACAGCCTGCAGCAGGAAAAACTGCGGGTCATCAACGGAGAGGTGTTCGAGAGGTCCAGAGGGGTAGGGAGCAAACCGCAAAACCCACAAACCTACACTGGTCACGCACAGGAGCCCACACACTCACCGAACCCCCATGTTAAGCCCCGTCCTCTCCTCCCACACATACCAAGTTCTCTGTAGGAAACTTGGCTTTAATTTGTCTGTAATGTGATTTCTTCAGCGCTGGAGGGAACAGCATTCAGACTTGTGCTGGTGCCTTACCTCACTTAATTTCATTAGGTCAGTGTAGTCTATTGGATTTTGAAAGAGGAAGCTATTAAACAGAAGAGATCTCTGTGAGGGCCTTATGAGGACACTGTCCTGGAGTTAGCAGGAAAATTTGATTTTGACAGGTCTTTAAAATGATGGTTATGTTACATTACTTTTATAGAACTGCATTGACTTCAGTCTCGCTTTTGAATTTGTTTTGGGGGAAAATTTGTATTGATCAAGTTCAAGTTTTAAAAGTCACATTTAATCAGGGTTCCCACGTGTCCTAAATTTAAGTTTTCTAGTCATAGAAACACCTGGAAATCGATGTCGATAGTATGGATGTGAAATTGGTTTTAAATTACATTCATAATGGTCTGCAGAAACCCTGAGAAAGCTGTCGTTTGGTGATGATACTAAGTTGTTAATGTTAGAAATACCTTTGTGCGTTTAGGTTTGTCCACTGGATTCCACCATTTGTGCACACATTCTAATTTGCTTTATGTTTTCTGTCGTAGGACGGTGAGGAGCTGGAGCTCCTGACAAAGCCCGAACACAGACAGTGAATCTGAGGAAGAGTCCTTGTAGTAGTGAGTTACGGCTCAAACCAGGGCAGAAGATTTTCTTTCTTCACTGCCGCTGCACTATAGACTTGTAGCCCTGGACGTGGCAGCAGGTCAAGCATTTACTTGAATGACTCAGCGGGTGAACATTGAATGACAGTGTTGATGGACAGTGTGATGAACTCTGTTGAACATTTGTGATGACTAAGGCTATTGTGTATATTTTGAAATGTGCCTGTCTGTTTAAGAGTGCTGTCAATTAGTCTAGTGGAAGAACTCCCAGTAATACATCAGTATATGTGCTGAGAAATAACTGTCACAACCACTGATGTGGGGTCAGTAAGGGTCTGTTATGGATACTTTATTTCCTCTAAAAACTTAGACTATGTGCCACTATTTGACTGCTTGCAGGTGATTGATAAGCTTAAGGATCACATTTCATACAGTTTTATGATTGTACGGCTTTACACTATTTTTAACTGTTGTTGGTGCTGTGTAAAAGAAGTGTTTATTCAATATGGTCAATATTTAAACAATATGGAAAACTTATGCAATACAGTCCATTACAAAGTCACAAACTATGGCTTCAAAAATGAACATGTCCCTTTTTTGAAGCTGCAGTTGGTAACTTTTCTAAAAATATCTTTTTGTCATATTCACTGAAACTTTCACTATATCCTGACAGTAGAACATGAGACAGATAATCTGTGAAACAATCAGGTTCCTCTGGCTCCTCCTAGGGCTCATAATGGTTTTTGTAAAAATAAATCCACAACCAACCAATCAGAGTCAAGAAAGAAAGACGCTTTGGGTTGGTGGTTTGAAAATAGTTGATTGATGAGACTCAACTATCTTTCTCCGCTCTGATTGGTTGTTTTTGTTCAGGCCCGGTGGATTCTTACAAATCCAAAGCCAGAGGAAAGTGATTGTTTCACAGATTATCTGTCTCATGTTCTACTGTCAGGATATAGTGAAAGTTTCAGTGAATATGACAAAAAGTTATTTTTAATAGAAGTTACCTGCTGCAGCTTTAAGTCCCGCCCCATTTTACTAACATTAATTATCAGATATAACTAGCTAGCTAACGATCCAGTAGATTAGCTAGCTAGTGTTTTGCTAACAGCAGCTAATTTAAGATGAAGACTTTTATCTTTTAACCATCTTCAAAATGTCTTTTCAACATAGATTAGCCTAGCACATAGCATAACTTCTGTTCTGATGAGGCTGTTATTGGAACATGGAACAAAAAGGGGGCGGGACTTAGGAGGGGTTAGTTATAAATTGGCAGAAATATACGCACAACAGAACTGTTTCCATTAAAGTGTACAGGCCTACTATTTTTCTGCTCACACAGTGTATTTTCTTAACCACGAACCAGAATCAATGAGCACCTTTGGCACAATAGAGCAGTTAGTATGCCTGAATATCTGAAAGCACAACAAACTCTGGTCTCTTACTGGCCTCGAACGTTCTTTTTTTAAACACATGGCGGAGGTTTGATGTATTACAACTGTGAAATACAATGAAATATATTTCTTTTAAGATTCTAGTTTGTGCCATACAATTTTAACATGTATGAATGCTAGTTATTCTGAAATAAATTGCAAGTAAACTGCATTTAAAAGGTGAAAAATTCACGTGTAGCAACAGCAGTATAGGAGAGTAGGTGGGGAAAGAGATGGAGCACTGATGTGCCAAAAAAGATGAGGACAAAAGGAAATGTTGGGAAGCATGAGTAGAGTACAGGGCAGTGGAGAGAATGCAATTGGAATGGAAGTGATAAACCTTATTGTATTCCAACTTTATATTGAAATGAAAAATTTCAGATATCTTGTGCATAATTTAATAAACATTTAAGCTGAATTTAGCATGTTTTCTGTTGGAAACCCTGGAGGAAAGTTCAGTGGATCTCAACAATTATTGGCTGCCTAACATGTTTTTTTTATATATTGGACCTACTGAAAAGACCATGAGGTTTAGGAGGTTTAAACTGTTAAAAGCCATCTTTATAATTTTGCGTTCCTACTGAAATACAACGCACACTAATTAACATAGGGTTGTCTTCATTATTAAACAGTCAGTAAAATGTACAGTCAAGCAGTTTCCCCTCATCATCTTATTAGACCACTAGGAGGAGATGTAGCTCAACAGATCCTTGCAATGCACAAGTGTAGAGTGAAACTCTGCAGGTGAGTGTTTATGCAATGTGCGCAGGGAGCAATTCAAAGACCATTACTGGTAGTAAACAAATGTTTATTTGTCATATAGCACAACAGAGTATAAATAAGAACATTGTGTAGCAACAGAAACTTTACAATAGAGAAATAATATGACAGCTTCTTTTCATAACTGCACCTCAAATGCGACAGATGTCCAATAAATACATATATGTCTTATTTTAGCCCGTTATCTACAAAATAAAGGTCTGTGCTGATAACACAAATATGTCAGTTTGACCTGGAAGGCAAGTGAAGGAGACCGATAATATAATAACGTTCAAAAACACTCTTTGTTTGAAGTCGGTAATAACAAATCCATAAAACTAAGTACAGATCCCTGAACCTCCGTCTACACATCACACACTGACTAACCGGCTCTGATTAAAGCCCCTTGCAAATTACCATTACTGTGCTATGTATATCAAAGAACTGGATAGGTGAAAGCAACAGGTTTTGAGGCTTTCACTAAGTGCTACAAAACATTCGAGGACCTCACTCCATCTGAGCCAACTGCCCGCTGGAGGATGGGTAAGAAAGATTAAAAAAGGTTATGGGTGAAAGGCATAAGCACCAGCTACAAGGCAGATGGACAAGTTAATAACCATAGCCCTGGTGGTAGCCGTCCTGGTAGCCGTGTTCGTATCCATGCTGATGGTAGCCGTAGCCACCGTACTCGTCCTCGGGGCAGCGCATACCCAACGACTGCTGGATGGCCATCTCCTGTCTGCGTAGCTGCATAGAGTCTACCAGGTCATAGATGATAGCCATGGACCACATGGGGGAAGGGTACCAGGACTTGACGTTGCCGTCCTTGCCTACCAGCAGCATGGAGAAGTATTCTGGGCTGATCTGGAAGTAGTTCCTCATGTCCTTCACCAGGGTGGCCGACAGCCCTTCGCGCTCCACGGTGGCGCTCCCTGGATGGAGGAGAGACTCAGATTAGGAATGAAGTATTTCAGACAGATATTTATTTTTATTTTTTTTACAGCGGAGAGATGTTTTCCCTTGAAGGCTTGTTTGACATTTACTGTTCTCCACACGCTGAGCTCAAAATGTCAGAAGCAGAAACCTGAAGAAACCCTGACTCCCATTTCTTCCCAGATAAGTTAATGCCTGGTTTGCGAGAATGAAAGAGATAATTCATACTTTGATTCTGAAGGTTTGTGTCCACAGGATCACTTATTTGGGGTCTAGACTACTTTATCAGAGGTGCCTCTGTTGCCAGAGTGCGACTTCTGAATACTTTTGTATGAGAAATAAAGGAATCTTTTTCCGTCATAATATGTCTTAAAATCCTAAAAATCAGTATTGGTTCCATGTCGGTTTGGTTTTATAGTTATTACAGCATGATCGATACAAAAGTTTCCCTAAAAACCCATTTTAAGAGACTGAAAAATGCAACTTTACAAGTGATGTTAACTTAATTATTCCAATCAATTGTTAAGATCTCTATAAGACCCCTCCTTATGCAAAACACTTTTTTTTTCATAAGCATGAAGGACAGCTGTTTTGAAATGAAAACTGAACTGGATGTCAGTTTGTGGTTATTCAGTAAATAGAGGTACTATGTACATAAATAGAGGTGCCGTGTGTACTCTGTGTGTGTGTGTACTCTGTGTGTGTGTGTGTGTGTGTGTGTGTGGTGTGTGTGTGTGTGTGTGTGTGTGTGTGTGTGTGTGTGTGTGTGTGTGTGTGTGTGTGTTAGTGTTTGCTACAGACATGCCTGACCCACGGTCCCATTCATTATTTTATATGAGAAAGTTCTTACCATTTATAGGATAGAGCTCCAAGACTCCGCCCATATCCGGTGGCTCTGTGCCGACCAACTTCAGAATGGCAATGTGCCTCAGACCTGCGTCACCGTGACAACGACAACCACAGTGAGAACACACATCAGAGAGAGGCAAATACCTTACAGTAAAAGTCAGACTTTAAACGTCGAGCCTGTAATAGGCTGACCAAATGTTTTTTATCCCTTGCTCCTTCTGCTTATCCAAGCTGATTTCACTGTGGTTGTTTATTATTGGAACCATCCTGAGCACTGGTTTCTAGGTAAGGGGAGGAGAACGTGGTGGTCCAGAGAGTCCTGCCAAAAAGCTGTTTCCTCTGAAGCGAGAAAGCCCACATTAAACACAGGAGAACGCAGGCTTTACTTGGTGAGAGCGAAGTGCTGAATACCAGGATCAAACCTCTCAGGCCTTCAGCCCAGTCAGCAGGACGGGCCTTTGTCTGGGGCAGGGAGGGAGGGAACAGCCCCTGGGTGCCAACCCAGCCAAGAGCAACACACAAGGGGAAAAAAGTTCTCGCAGACCCAGGTCTGGGCCTGCTGATAAGCAAGACAAGCTTTCTTCTGCAGTCTCTGGATTCACTCATATGGAGTAACAGTGCACTGATGTCACCAATGGCTTTCTAATGAGGCAGATTTTATGAGAGAGGCTACAAATAATTTTAAAGGTTAATAAATCATTTGTAAGACTTTATAGATCAGTAACAAACAATTAATAAGAAGGTTGTAAAAATAGCTTTAGCGGGTAGGTCAGTGGTTCCCAAACTTTTTCCTCACTGAGTAACTGACGACCCCTGCTTCGGGACATATTTAATGGAAATTATCCTATTTCGACCGATGATGAACGATTTTTTAGCCATTAGTTACAATGAGCTGATTTATTCGTATTCAGAGTGACAGCAGTAGAATAAGTTGGAATTCTTAAAATGTTCAACATATAAACAAATTTTTAGTACCCTAAGCTTAAAATCGAGTTAAAATCTAATTGAATGTGCGGCCGTTCCTTCTTAAACTGTCCTCATAAGAATCAAACGGCAGATAGTGCAAGTCAAAGTCATTTATTATATTTGACTAATACATCTATTTTACTGACTATCTTATGACAAAGTGCTCTCATAAGAGCTGGGGAGAACTGTCAGAAGAATTTTGAATTCATATAAACAGGACTGGAACATGAGGTTCAAGTAAGTCCAGATGACAGCATTTATTTAGTTTTGCAGAGAAGTGGAGTTCACCGCTGGCTATTTAAAGTTTACATTTATCTTAAATAAATCTGTCAGACACGGCAGGTTGTTGAGATTAGCGCAGTTTAGATAAATGTCTCTTTTTGAGATGTACAGTAATAACATTTAAGTAACTGTGGAAAAGTTGACTAACTGGCAGGAAAGGGAGGAAAAGAGCCTGTTAGCTTCAGACAGAGCAGAACTGCCCTCTGCCAGCTCTGTCATCTGGGATCCCTCTGCACATCCCTCTGTGCACACATGCACAAACACACACAGTCAGTTGCAACTGCTCAAAGTATGCATCTACAATTGAGTATGTGTATTGAAATATGATTCAAGCAAGCTGAACTTCCACTCTACCAATATGGATGAACACAAAGAGGATTCAACCTACAGTCACTCCATCACACATTTTACATTTTCTCTTCCAGGTAGGTCTTTCCAAGGAAGTTTCTTTTTTGTTTGTTTGTTTGTTTGTTCCCGGCTGCTGCAGCAGGAAATTGTTTGGGGCACAGAAAGAGTAGTCAGCCTGAGCGGTGCCCTTCTTACTGAGTACACACAGAGAGGACGCAAAACAGTGGCAGAAAATCCTCACAGCACTCGAACTAAGAGGAAAACAGAAAGCACTATAAAGGTAGTTTAAAGCACGAGTTCACTCAACTCACACCAAAACGTAAACGTGTTTCTTAGCTCCAGTGGTATCTAGCCAAGTAGTTCTTGTTTGCAATATTATTTGTAGCATATAAGAGCAATCACTTCATCTTAGAGAGGCTATATATGCTGCTTTGGTCCCAGCTATGTTGTGTAGTCCAGTAAAGAACGTCCTCAATAAATGTAGGGGTCCAAGCCTGAATGGGTGCTGGAAACCCTACTGGAATCATTCAGATTTTGTTATTTTTCATCTGTTTGTAAAAGTGGTACTGCAGCCTACATCCTAAGAGCTATGGAAATGAAATTGACAGAGAAGGTACAGGCAAGTGTTCGTACCTCAGACACAAAAAATGACACATGTCCATCAGCAGGTAGCGCTGTAATTAAGTTAAATGCATTTTGGACTTTAACTCTCACATTAAATATGTGCTAAATATGTGAAACTCACCTTTTTTAGTCCGATCTGCATGAAAGTTTTGCACGTCGAATGATTGAACCTTCATAAACAAAAGTTGTATAAGGAATCTTGATAGTCCAAAGTTCCAAGCCTGGTGCAACCCTGGCACCCTTTAATGCCTGCTTGTGGGTCCAGCATGTGATTTACTTTAATTATTGCATGCAATTTCAGTAAAGATATTTCATTTGAATAGACAAATGAATTAACAACAACAACAAAAAAAATAGGGAAATTAGAAAGAAAAGTGCTTTGCATCTGCCTCATCGGTCTACTGGTCTTTCAAAATTACTTAAGTCGACTCACCAACTAGTATCTGCATGTGGGTTCGCCCATAGTGATAAACCCACAGAGAATTATCACCCAATTCTGCAGTTCCCTTCAGCTCTATGGAGCTTTATAGCATATTTGAAGGCATTGTTTTGGTTTTTCAGCCCCCAACTTTATTGTTTTGCTCTGATAATTGTAGCAGGCTGCTGTTTTCTCTAGCTCAAAAAACCCACTGCAAGCTACCTGCTCGGCACAAAACGGCAGATGGACACACTTAACCACCAGCTGGTGGAACAATTAGCAGCTAATGAGAGAGATATTTCCCTCAGGAGTTATGAGTAAATATGAGTAAAAACAATTTGCTAGATGAAATTAAAAGGTGGTGATTTGGGCATTTTAATGCTTTTATTCTGTAGTTTAAAGTAGAGAGATGTCAGGAAATGAGGGAATTACATGGAAAAACATTACAGTTAAGGTTATTGGTTCACAGCTTGTTTCCGCAGCCCCAAGTGGCCAAAAAATCAGTTATTGCAGTTTGAGTGTAGTGTCATGTCTCACCGGTGAACTCAATAGCTCTGCAAATAACATTTGGGTGAACTATCACCCAAACTATCCTGACCTAACGGTGGAGTTCACCGACCTTTCACAGGTCACTTTTTGACTCACCAAGGTTGCAGGCCTGGCTGGTCAGGCCATAAAGCTGCTGCTGATAGGCCCACTCTTCATCGTTGGGGGCTGAGATGATGAACAGGCGGCGTCTCCAACGGAACCTACAATCACAGAAAATTTTAGCCTGGATTTAAGTAGCACTTTGCTGCAGCAGTGAAAGCTTTGTTCTAAGACAAGTGCTTGTACAGTAACATATTCCCATACTATTACTGCCAGAGGGTAACAACCCCAAATTATGGTCAAAAATCTGCCAGATCGCAGCCTCAATCAGGAGCAGGAATTCAGGTCTCCATAGTAACAAAAGACAGCCTGTCCGGTTTAGACATCTCGGAAGAATATGTGATTGCAGTGATTCAGCCTTGAGGTACGGCAGAGGTTTATGCTATTTTTAATATCCGTGGAGCACACACAAACAGGCTGGCGCAAATTGCCAAAAGCTGCTTATAAATCGTGGTGCAGCTGATTATTGAGCAAAGCAACAGATGTTTGATGGACGTGGAAACAGCCTGATGGGACCACCCAATAATTCTGACTACCACCTCCCCGGCAAAACACTTCAATAAGACAATCTCAATATCTCAAGGAGCAGGGTCATCAAACTTTTTCTTTTGTTATTATTTTGATGTGAGAGACCCTTCAGTGGCAGAAATTACATATTGTACGTTTAATGCTACATCAACGTTGAGACCAGCAGTTCTCAACCTGGGGTCTGGGTCATGGAGCAGGATCCAGGAGGACTCCAAAAAACTACAGCTTATCAAATACAGGTAAATGTATCAGTTTCTGGGTTCTTGACATCAAAAAGGTTGAGAACCCCTGTCTTAGACAATGTGTGCTTCCAACTGTATGGCAACAGTTTATTGTAATCATCAAACACCAATGCTCCCGTACACAAAGCCAAGAGTTTTGTGTGGAAGAGCCCTGATCTCCACCCCATTCAACATCTTTGGGAAGAACTAGAACTGCAAGCCAGGCCTTATCACCCAACATCAGTGGTCAGCCTGACTAATGCTCTTGTGGTTGGACAGGAGCAAAGCCATGTTCCAAAACCTTGTGGGAAGCCATCGCAGAAGAGCAGGCTGTTGTAGCAGGATGTTAATACCCATGTAGTGTATTTAAAGCTTCTGGAAACAACTTTACCTGGAGAGGAAGTTCTCCAACGATCTGGGCTTATCCTCTTTCTTACAAACAACCCTGTCTCTCTTCTGCTGCTCCATCTCTCGGATGCGGGAGGAGAAGGTGTCGATGTAGTCGAACACCGCCTTCATTGCGATAGGAACCTCATAGGATTGCTGGGAAAAAGAACATCAACAAGAACCAGTCATTCAACCAGTCAGTGGAGCCACAGGATAAATACATCAATATGTCTGTGGAAACAACGCAGAGGATATCAAAATGAAATTCTATTGCTTAAAACAATGCTGAAGCTGTTTCCCATGAAGTGATAAAGTGAAGTTTTGGAACATGTTAGTAGATGGGGTATGGCCTTTGCCACATCACACGCATTCTTCATAACTTCTGGGAAGAAGCACAAGGCGTAACATAACACAGTATTCCGTTTAATTTACAAAATGCTAGGCATTCTCAGCATGAATATCTAACACATGCAAGAAAATGTAACCCAGCCACACAAATCTTCCATGATGGACAATATGCCAAGGCATCAGGTAAATAATGAATTTTTAGTTTTGTGGTTATTATTTGCAGTGCCTTTGATGAAACATGCTATTATGCAACAGTTTCAGATAAAGTGAAGTTTTCTAGCAGGAGCCGAAACAGCCAATCTAAATGGACCTTTTCCAGTTCAGTCTCGATTGGTTGATTATGAGCAAGCAGAGTTGAGCACACGAGTGGAGACGTTGAGAGAGGAAGAGGGATAATGTGAGCTCTGAGCAAGAGTTTGTTAGAGGGCATATGTGTAAAACGGGGTTATGATTGCACATTAATATGGATATTAGCAAACATGCAAATACATTTATTGAACAGAATAGATTTTTGTTTGCTCAAACACAATTATTTTTTTCTTGCATATATTCTTTCTTCAAAATATAATTAATATTAAAGTCTCCCATTGCTCACTCAGCAATGAGGCACAAATATAACAATGTAACCGGGGCACTCCACATGGACAAATCTTTTTGAATGACAGTTTTTAGTATCCAAGATGTACCTCAGCTTGTTGATCAAGTGCGCACTACTCGTGAAAGACATGAAACCCCCAACTTTTCCCACTCATACTGCCTACTGCTGTTATTGTAAGGTAGTGCTCACGCTGCCTGCAACGGTCGTGCAGTTGCTCAAAACATAGGAAGCGGGAAAACCAGTGAACGGCCGGGAATCAATGTCTCAAACAAGGACTTCAATGAGTGACTCGAGTGGAGTCCAGACCTCAGTCCAGAGCCTGGCAGCTACTGCACACTCAGTTGTTCTCTCACTCAATCTCTGAACCGTCCTCTGGAACTGGGGGTGGGATGTATGCTACTTGCCCAAGAAGAATGCCAAACAGATCTGTAACACTGTGTGTATGGCTTATATATCCAACCTACATACAAGTATCAATCAGTGCATTAAAAATAATATTTTATCTTTATTAATGTAAACTTATACACAAATCCTGCAATCAGTTACTGATGAAGGCCCCTACATAGTTGGCGCTCTTAGTGTTATTCAAACAGTTCAGTTTACACTCGCCAGAAAATAGAGGAAAAATTGAGTGACTACTAGGCTACCTAGCATAATAGGGAGTAAAGGGAAAAGTAGAAAATTGTACACTTCTTACAGCTTGCATTCTAGCTTGCGCATATTGTAGGGAAGAACCACCGCAGTAATTGTGATTTGTTTACTTCCAGTACTTGCCTGAAATTTGAGTATACATGATGACTCATGAGTGTCACAGAGAAACTGAATCCATATTTTGCAAAAAGTACAAAAATGGTTCACAGCATTGGTCAACATGAAGGAACCTGATTCTGTGAAAAGAAAGAGTCGGCCCATCACTAACTCTCACACCTTCCGCAAAATACGCTGAATGTGCTGCACTGCTCGCTCTCGCTCTTTCACACCTCTCTCCTCCGCTCTGCTCTCGTTGCCACTCTCTGTCTCATGCCCACACCCACATCCTTGTATGCTCACAGACTCCCCTGTCTCTGCCTCTGTCAGCAGAGAGGTGAACACTGGCCTCTTTGATGAATCTGTCCAAAAACAGCCTGGTGATTTACCTTGGCATACACACACACACACACACACACACACACACACACACACACACACACACACACACACACACACACACACACAGTTCACATGTTATGTGAATTAAAACAGTGTTTTAGTGAAGGAGGTGTCAGTACAAGGACAAGTCAGTCCACCTTCAAAGAGGAAGACAGGGTGAAAGTGTTGGGCAGATGGGTGGTGATCATGTAAACAGAGGGTGGAAACCAACAGCAGTGCCACGAATAAAGCAGAAAAACAGTTCATTTAAGGTAATCAACCAGCACACCATGAGAAAGAGGTCGGTATTTTAACTGTAGAGGGAATCAAAGTCATGTTCAGATTGTGAAGATATCATGGCATGCTTAAAGGAATCTCAAGTAAAAAAGTCTTGTTTCTGGGAAATTAGTCTTCTTTTTTGTCTAAAGAATATATATCTAACAGCTAATATTGAGCTCTATTGAAGCAGTAACCAGTAATATCCCAGCAGAGGAACAAGATTATTTTACTTATTTTAAGAGAAAGACCAGTTGCACAACTTCTCAGTTTAAGAGAAAGTGGTCCCAGTGTTGGAAATGAAGCAGCTGTTTAGTTTTTCATTGTTTGAATAAGAACGATAAAAATAAGAATGATTCTGAAATTGTGACTTATTGTAAGATTATATTTTCTAATTATTAATCTTAGATTAAGGTACAAATTATTTAATTCAGCTCAATAAAGTCGCCAAAATACTTATTTTAAGAATCTTAAAATTCTTAAATAATTGAGTTTTCAAGCACAACTTATTTTTAGGCCCATTACAGTCTTTCAGTGGCTACATTTTTCTGCTGGTTTTAATAATTCTAGCCAAGCAACATTGCCTTTTTTTTTTGTGCTTAATACTAGAAACTGATTATATTTAGGAATATATATATAAAATGATTAAAACATCCAGCCTATCCCACAAGCTGAACAACAAACCAAAACACTGACAGTTCAACTATATGAAAACATACTCTTGTTTTTAAATAATTTTTTGGTGGCTCTTATTGCCTTTTTATTGGATAGGACAGTTGGAGATGGACAGGAAACGGGGGAGAGAGAGAGAGAGAGAGAGAGAGAGGAGATGACACACAGCAAATGGCCACAGGTTGGATTCGAACCCACGGCCACTGCAGCGAGGACTAGGCATGGGGGGATGCCAGCTCCACCAGGTGAGCTATCGCCCCGGAAAATTATAACCTAGTAATATCTGCTTTTATGTACTCAGTGGTGTTAAATAACATCCAATTTAAAAGCAGTTTAAATGAACATATCTGGAACATGATTGGTGGTGATGATGAAGGTACCTGAGTTCGTCTGACAGGAGTGTAGGGGTACGATTTAGAGGATCCAATCCCCTAACTATGAGACATGGAAATAGAGAGCAGAGAGATTACCTTGACTCTCATGTCAGTGTCGGTGAGGACCATGTAGAAGTCATCATATGTCATGCTGAACTCCTTCCTCAGCTCTGTAATCAGATCCTGGTTCACCAGGTCCTCCTGACGGAGACCCTTCATAGGCTTGTCATTTTCTGAAGGAAAAACACAACAGTAGTAAGCTAGTGTGAGACAGTTTATATTCTCTAATTCACACGATTTGATTGTGAAGGTTTATGAATTAAAAAATGTTTCTGGTAGACAAAAGGCTTGTGCAATGCAGCATATCAAATAAAATCTGTGAAACCTAAACAGGAAAACACACAAACTATAATAACTTCTGACATCTCAGCTTTGCCTTCGATATTTTGCTCTGAAGAGATGTTAGTGAAAAATGTTGTAAGATATTTTATTGTTTTATTTGTCACATATGACAAATAAAAGCCCTTACAGAAATTAACACAGTGTTAGTTCAGGCAGGCCACAAAGTAAAGCTCAGCTCTCAATTCCAGCTATATCAGCTGATCACAGCTAATGTAAACAGACATCAGCTGACGGCTCAGCTGATACCTCCTAAGCTTCCTATTGGAAACCATACACAGTCAGCGGACAGCTCAGCTGATTCCCTCAAGCATCCAATTGGAAAATATCATTTATGGCGCCTTATTTAAGCTGCTTTAGCCTGCCTATCTCTGCTGCTTCCTCTGCAACCCACCTCCACCCCAGCTCCTCCTTTTAAGTTCTATCTAATTAATCAATGTCATTTTTTGATTTCCATTGATGCTCGCTCTGTTCTGTACCCTGGGGGGTCTCTGCTGCCGCTCTCCTTGTCTTAAACTTTTCCATGTATGCACATGAAAGGGCAGGGAGGTGTGCTCTCCCTGCCTTAAGGTTTTAGCACGTAAGCACGTGGAAGGACAAGGAGGTCCCAGAACAGAGCCATACCGCCAAATGTAAAATTCTGCTTTGAAAAATAAGTCATTTTGACAAAAGTGGTCCTGACTGAATTGTGAAAAAGCACAATTGTGATGATTTCCCATTGAATAAACCATAATAACAGAATGTGAGTGCTCGGCTCACACTGCGTCTTCCAGAGTAAAATGTGTTTTCCATTGCTAAGCTCAAAACAATGTTCCTTTGAAATGTGTGTCTGACATGACAGCGAGGCAGACTCTGCAGTGAGAATGGAAACATGCAGAGTGAATCAGGGACAAAGTTGACAAAGAGCAGCTTTTATTCACTCAGATCAGAAATGTACTGTAGCTGGTGAAAGCAGAAGCCTTTAATCACCACTCCCTCCATGCACATGTGCCACAGCACACACACAGACCACAGAACAGTGTTTTTTGGTGGTTGGTTCGCCCACTCTGTGCTGTGTAATGTGTATGAGCAATCAAATGAGGAAAACCCCAGGACATTCTGAAGACTGTTCACAGAAATATACAACAAAGAAATATCTTCTATGTACAACACATGCAGCTTAAAACACTATGAGGTCACCCTAAACTGAGGGAATGGCAACACTGAAAGAACCTGTTGTTTGTATACAGTACATGCACACACACACACACACACACACACACACACACACACACACACACACACACACACACACACACACACAGACCCTCTGGCCGCTAAGTGGAACAAAAGTGTAACCGAGTCTTACCACGGGTGGGGGCAAGTGACGTCACCTTTGCACTTTTCCCAGCATTCCATCTGGATAAAACCTTGTTGTCATGCGGTGTGAGAGGCTCGTAAACTTTTACAAAGTGGGTTTGCATGTCCGGACGTTAACACGCACTAACCCGAGCCTCGGGTTTGAGACAGCTGTAAAATGTCTCAAAATGTGAGGGGCTGCCGAGGAGTGACACAGCATGTCTCATAAAAGCAGTAGTGGTTTTGTTGCTTTTGAACAAGCAGTGAGCAGTTTGATAAAAGGGAGGTTTTCAAAAGCTGTCATAACTGCATTGAGTGTGTGTGTATGTGTTGAAATAACTATAACTTAACTGTTCCAATAGGATATACAAGGAAGGTGTATGATGTATTCTGGCAGTGGTTCCCCCTCTTCCCCATATACATGTGATACAGACCCCTGTAATATAAAGGTCCAGGATCGATTGTCAGAAATGGAATATAATAGCCATAGGTATGTCTTCATTAGTGTATTATTACTTAAAAATAAGAATCGTTGCATTTTTGTTACCTTAGAATGAGACATTTTTATCTACAGAGGAAGCAGATTCCACCATGTTGAACCGCCATGTTTCTGCCAGAGCTGTGTATTGGCAAAAATATGGCGATACGATAAATATCATGATACAGTGGTTCTGATTCAATTTACTGTGGTACATTGCAATACTGTAAGATCCACAGCCCTCAGTTTATGTTTACAACACCGCTATCTGGCAGTTGGTGGATAAACAGATACGATACAATATCACAAAACAAAATATTGCGATAATCAAGTGTATCATTATTTTCCACAGTAGCCCAGAACAGACTGACCAAACACTGGCTCATGAGTTCTGTAATCATTGTATCTTCTCGTAACCTTGCGAGGCAGCTGAAATCCATCTTGACAGGTTTCAATCTATGTGGTTCGGACCAATCAGCATCCTTTGAGAAACAACTGGGAGCTACAGCATGAGCTACAGGCGTGGTTTAATGCTGGGAAAAGTGACTGTTTGCTTGAAAGCAACAATGGCAGCTGCTAAAGAGGTGAGCATAGATGCTGCTAGCATCAGTTCTATTAGAACCGGAAACAAAAAACAGCACTGAAGGCTTTCCTTAGTGGAAGAGATGTTTTCTCTCTTCTCCCGACTGACTTCAGTAAGAGTTTGACTACGACTATGTGTTGTTCGTTGATCTGATTGGTTGACGTTTGCCTCTGATAGACAGTGATAAACAGATGGTTGATCCAATCACCTCATCCATCAATAATGGCTCTGTCAGGTCATGCTTCTCCTACATGCTTGTACAGTTGATTGCGATCTAAATCCTACACACTGGTCATTTAACTGCTGCACTCTCACTCTGCTGCAGACTCATATACTTCTGTCTCTTCACTGAAAAGTCTAACATTTCAAATATAATATAATCATATAAAAGTTCTGTCACTGAAAGAGTAAACACCACAGGGTTACATGCACATTAATGTCAGAGCACAGGAGCCAGCTCAGTCTAGTATCACCTGCACAAAGGAGTTCACAATGCTGTGGCTTTGGCAGAGTCGGTGTGCATTCAGAATTTTATACTTGGAGCAGAGATCGCTGCTGAAAGCATCTACTCTGGCATCATGCAAAGAAGGTAAGACAAGGACAGGACAGCAGACGTGGCAGCAGACAGGCCTCCCTCTTAGTAGGGAGAACAATTCCCCTGAACTTACTGTAGCTTCAATAGCTATAGCAGTTAGCATAGTCAGGTGGTGAAAGTGTGAAAAAAATGTTCAAGTCACTGACTACTACTGAGACTTACTAAATAACAAATGGAGAGAATATAGTTAAAAATCCAGTGTTTGGGTCACTTTTATTGATTTAATTAATGACATTATTGTGAAACAGGGTGTTACAAACTGCAGGAGTATTCGCCCTCCTCGCCACAAGAGACAACAGGTGGCTCAACTTGTGAGTACTTCCCCACATTATAAATAGAGGGCTGGACTTGACTTGCCTTCCTTTGTCTACAAACATTTCACCTGCATGATGTGTAGATGATGTAGATGTTTGCCATGTGTCTTTTGATCTACCTTCAATGTATGTATTATTTACATATTTTTATGATGTATAAGAGACAGGAAGGTTACATTTGTTAAATAATATTATGTTGATTTATGTCAGTCTAATCTTTATTTGAGAGATTTATGATGCATAAATGTGTAAATGTTTAACACAACTTAAAGACTGGATTAATGATTTGTTTGGAATTATTGTCATTTGTTCTTTCTTTGTTTAGAACCATGGCAATCATCATGGCAATCATCATCCTAAAGAAACAATTAATTGGTTAATAAATGGATGACTAATGGAAATACTTGTTTCGTGGTGGTCTGTGGCTCCAGTAGAACCTTATATCCACAACACAGGGCGTATCCCTTCCATCAAATTACTAAATTTATACTGGATATTTTACCGTGTTGGATGAGATAATACCTGACACTGTTTATTGTAATATGTCCTAACATATTGGTTCATCTCCACAACTTCAAAAGACTCGCCCAAAGCCCTCACACAACAGCAACAATACCAAGTTTTGGTGCTACAGTGTCACATTGGCTTTTGCGGCAAAGGCATGCCTATCAAAAAAATAAAAGTTTGGAGGATTTAATTTGGTCAAACTGTTAGCAATTATAGGCTAATTGTATTTATGTAGTGCTGTAGTACTCATGTCTGGTCTCGGAATCAAGATACTTTTTGGAGTTTTACTATAATATTTATGAATGTGGAAAACATCCACTGAGACAGAGTAGTTAACCTGATTCCCTCACAGTCCAGTGAAGGATGCATTTGGCCAACCAGATGGAAGGGTTGGATGGGTCAATGCTGACGTCTGAGACAACTGCCGATCATCTGTTGCGATGATAGAAGTGAAACTTTGTGCTAGCGCTGCAGGTGGCAGCTACTTACCTAGCTGGTAATGGTCAATCTTCATGGTGGAGTTGGTCAGGGAGCCAAAGATGGTGATGATGGAGACTTTCCTGATGGCCATTTCACACACAGACTCCAGGTACTCATCTCTCTGCTGAACATACATACTGTTCTCCTCACTGGGGGACGTAATCAGCTGGAGGGAGCGAGGGAGGGAGGGAGGGAGGGAGGGAGAGAAGAGAGTCATGCAATGAACACACACAGAGGTGATGTTTACATTAACCTGCAGGCGGAGGATGGGCCATATTTTCCCAGCCTGCCCACAGCACTGCTGTGATAAGAATCTATACTGGCTGCAAAACAGAGACACACAGTCTGTTAGCACACAGCCTGTTGGGTAGCTGCAGGAGTTTATGTCTATATTACATTCCACTCCAGTATATAAAGCATTATGAGCTTATATGATTTTCTGGTCAAGTCATTTCAAGTGTTGTGTACCAGTTTATTGACCGATACAAATGAATCAAAAATAGATTCCTTATCCAGATGTTGAGACTTTTTGGATTTCACAACTTCCCTGTACTCTGTTTTGGAAAACAAACTTTCAACAATCATTGGAGTTGCAATATACTGTTAATCACCACCTCCTGCTCCACATTTCCCACTCCTCAGTGATGCAGGGTGGTGCTACATCCAGTTTGGCTGAAAAGCAACTGCCAGCCAGTCAAAAGTGGAAGTCAAGACAAAATAGTTTAGTCATGACTGTGATATTTCTGTTGGATTACTGCTTTAATTGGCTAGTCTGCTTGTCTGGCTTCCTGTCTCTTATTGTGAAAACAAGACAATGGGTAAAATGGTGAATATTTTTATGTTAACCACATGTAATTTATTGGTGGAGACTCCTGTAGGTGAACTACTATTAAAGTTCCAAGCAATACTGAAAAAACATTTCTTATAGAAACATTTTGTGGTCTCAATTTTCCTCTAATTTTCCCTCTGGTCGAAACCTCAAACAGGAGATTTGAGAGAGGTAGCGAACCTCTTACGAACTGTGAGTTATGTCATGCCCTCACCAGCAGCCGTCTCCTGTTCTCAAAGTAGTCCAGGAAGGAGGTCAGGGATCCCTTCGGAGGGGGCGTTGGCCTTTTAGTGGGCTTGGGGTACTCCTCTTTCTCAGGGTACTTTGAGAGCTTCTTTCCATTTTTCTTTCCCCCGATCTTCCCCTCTTTCCCGACCTTGCCTCCTCTCCTGTCGGCTTTCTTGGTGGCCTTGTCGTTCTTTTTCTTCTTCTTGTCAAGCTTATCATGCTTGCCCTTGACCTTCTTGGTGGGACTAATGACAGTGAAGGTTTCAGTCTCCTCTGGATCACTGACTGTTGGCTTGCTGGGTTCATACTTGTCCTCATACTCATTAGTCAGCACCTGCACGGATAAATATATGTTGTTTATTGATTCTTTCCACCACATTTTTATGTGAATGAATACCTTTACATTACTGTTAGATTTTTTTTCAAGACCCACTTTTTCATAAACCTTTCATGGGAAAACAAATCTCCTTGTACACACAAAAAGTGAGGTAATGGTAGTTAGTTTGGCAGTTAACATTAGCTAGAGTCAAGAAAGATCTAAAAATATAAAGATTTTCCAATTTGTTGTTTTTGTTGAGGCGTGGTGGATTCTTGCAAATGCCATTAGGAGCACTAAGAGGAGTGTGTTTAACCATAATTTCACCTGTTTAAATTATATTAAGGCTTAAAGTTAAAGCTGTCTACTGTAGGTGCCTTTAAGCCTTTAAGTATGGTTTTAGTACTGAAGTTTTCCTCAAGTTAAGCAGCCTATATACAGAATGAACCCTAGGCACTTTTAGCAAATCAAATATTTTGTATCACCTTCTCTCCCCCATTCTTCTTCCTGGTGGGTTTGACCCTGGAGGGTTTATGTGTGGCAGGTACCAGCTTGCGGCTGTGTGGATCTCTGTTGTCCTTGTCAGTGCGGTTATCTCCAGCTGGGGTGGTTTTAGCCGGGTACCTCTCCCTCTCTCTTCGGTTGTAGTAAGGGTCAGCAGTGGTTCTGGGGGCTGGGAGCCACGGGGCTGTGCTGTGGGCTCTGGTTGGTCTCTGGGTAGTGGTAGTGGTGGTGGTGGTGGGTCGTTTTGTGGTGGTTCTTCTGGTGGTGGTAGTGGTGGGTTTGGTGGTGGTTGTGGCTTTAGTTGTGGTTGTTGTGGCTCTGGTTGTAGTGGTGGTGGTGGGGTGTGTTGTAGTTGTGGTGGTGGTGGTTGTTGTTGTGGTTGGCCGTGTAGTTGTTGTGGTGGTGGTTGTTGCAGCTGTTGTTGTTGTTGTTGTTGTTGTTGTTGTGGGCTTTCTTGGGATCTTCTTGCCTGGTTTTCTTTCTACTGGTGTATCTACTGGTCCACACACACAGAAAGACATGGACAAGACAAGATAGATAAATAGATAAAAAGTTGTCTTCAAACACTTTCCTATTTTGTGAGAAAGTACCTAGAGGCAGTAGATTGCTACAACAATATTACATTAGACCAACAAAGTTGACCTAAATTGTTTAGTCATAATACGTTCTAGTGCGAAAATGTCTTGACACTTTTCAAGTATTTCCAGATGACCTGCTTCAAGGTGCTGTCCGTTATTTTCAGTCCACACTGACATTCTGCTGCCTGCCGTTGAGGACGGCCTCTTTGTGGAGTTCTCTCTCCTGATTGGATAAAGTGGGAACAGGATACCAGGAAGTGTATTCTCTGTTTACTGCAGGAAGGAGGGACTGGGAGACTATGTTACTGACCGTAACAGAATGTAAAACTAATTAACACATATTTTAACAAAAAAATATACATATTATATTGCAGTGCTTTTAATTAGTGTATACTTTTGTAAGGATCATGGTTTAAAACTAAATTCCATAAAAACATATTCTCCTCTAGTTATATCTAGCCATGCAGATCGCTTTTTGAGAAAAAAATGTCCACAGCAACCTTTGATTCCAAGAACAATGTCCCCTTAACTCTGGATAATCCACAAAAAAACTGTTTTCACTGAAACTATTTTCTTCTGATGAAATAGCCTCTATGAAAACAGATAATGTTGAATAACCAGAAAACACTTTATTATTAATTATTATTAACTAATTTTTTTTTTTTTAATGTGAATGTTCATTAGTGTGAGAACCACAAATAAAAGTATATTCACTGCCATTGTGTGGGAGTGCAGGTTTTACAGACATGCTTCTAAACATCAAATGAAACCAAAATGGGCGAGGCTTATCTGCATACCACTAGAGTGGGAGAAAATATGTTTTAATCTTTGTTAAAACTGCCCATTTACATGGATATAGTAAGATATATTAAGATGCCTTCCAATCATGTATTAAGGCATACATACAAATAGTCTGTTTGGAACAATAATGTGTGTCTGATATGTTTTTTCCACAAAGAAAGTCTAATTTCCACATTAAAACCCTTGAAAAATCATCTCCTCCTTCTGCCTCATTAAACCTTCCAGAATCTCTGAATATACAAATGTTGTTGATTTCTAAAGTTTTGCTGCTGGACACAAGATGTCTCCTACTTCACTCCATTCTCAGTGGTGTGACTGGTGACTTTCCCTCCCTGTGATAATTGTGAAAATGTATAAAATTCCCAACATAATCACCTGTGAGAGTGCCCTCCTCCACTTGGCCCTCCACACCTGCTCCTTTACACTTCTGGACGAAACCTTTCTGTCTGAGCTTCTCCAGCTTCCTCATGGGCGACTGGTCAATCACCTCATACACGGCCTCCAGCCTCACAGGGTAGGGGTACCTCTCCTCCACCTGCAGGGTCTTCTTCAGCAGCACCATCCCAAATTTACCTGCAGGTCACCACATCACTGATGTTTTCACCCAGATGGGAAGTGTGAGGTGTGTGCTACTCCTATATGAGCTCAGGTTGGTCTCCACAGCAAACATTCAGACATGGTTCTTGTTGAATTACAAAGTAATTTCCCCAAATACAAATTAAAACATGCACAAACTATAGTCCCAGTGCCGTCACCTCCCCCTTACCTTTCTCCAGTTTGAGGAAGCTCATGAGTCTGGGTATGAGTGCCGTGTCCAGCGGCTCCTCCATCACCTTCCCCTCGGTGGTGATCCTCCTCACCTTGCCCCCCATCTCTCCCTCCTGGTGAAACATGACAATCTGGTGCACGTGTCGCTCGGCGAGCTCGCAGTACACATCTGGTTTCAGGAGAGACATCATCAGTCTGTAGTAGCCGTCAGAATCATGAGGCGCTGAGATCACCAGGACGCGGTTCTTCCCTGCGAAACTGGCCAGCAGATTTGGTGACCCAGCGTTGCTGGGCATTCGGATGACCCTGGCTCTGGCTCCTGGGGCGCCCTCATCTTGCAGCATCTCCGGCTGACGGGGCAAGCCAATCTGTCCGACCGCCCCTCTCCTTGGCGCTAGACCCCGACGTTCTGCTCGCTTGCCGGACGCTGGAACATCCTCGTCCGCCTGCACATCTCCCTCCTTCCTGGAGCCGTGCACCGAGATTGCCGCAGCAAACCCGGGGCGCACACGCTTGACGAGGCGCTCTTTGTCCGTTGCGCCCAACTGCGCACGTCCCTGTCTTGTGCGTCTGTTCAGCTGCACCCGCTTGAGGTGAGTGTGTTTGTCGGCTTCACCTGTCCAGGTTAGCAGATATATCAGAGCTAAACTGAGCACAAACGCCCTCCGCATTCTGGCGAGATGTCAGATAAAGTAGGCTAAACACTCACTGAGGGGAAGATACTGATCCAGTGGTGGAGCCGCGATCCTGCCGCGTCTTTAGCGCATTTGAGGTTGTTAATCAATTAATTCCAGATGAAGACATGCAGCGTGCAGGCTCGGCACACAACAGTCAGCCAGAGATCTGTTTCAGAGCATGCCCTCTGCCGAGGAGGTACACTTCACTGTCTGCTCTTTATTTGTCAGACAAAGAGAATTTCTGTGCGTAAACGGTTACATCCACAACTTCATCACAGCAACACTTCCGTTTTTAAGTATAATCCCAGGAGATCAGACCCTCTCTGTTATACAGACATCCAAAACTGTGAGATAAATCCTCAGCCACTAGTGAAAGTATTTCGGCGAAAAGTCTTCTCCAAAGTATGCTCACTCTTAGGTTTACATCCTAATAACTGAACCTACAAACACATAATCCCTGGGCATTATTTATTTCCAGCAAACTGAGAGGGGATCTTGTGGGCGCAGGACGCAGGAATCTCCGAGAAAATGCAAAGAAACCTGAGTCTGTACAGGAAAATGCGGCTGTCCTTCTTCCCAGGTCCTCCTTGGCAAAACGGAGCTTTGGAGGCTTTCCCAGAAATGTCCACACAAACCTCAGCCTCCGGATTCTAGGCGACCCAATGGCAGAAGGACCTGCCCCGGGACTCGCGGTTGCCAGTTCAGTCTGCAACACCCGTTTCACTAGACAACATTTGCACCAAAGTTTCAGTCCCCCGCGCTGGGGTGGGTTTAGGTTTCACTGAAGCACAACACATGAGGTAGCTGACTAAATATCTGAGAAAAGTTGGACACGTTGCCCCCCTGCTGGACAGGATTACCGGGAAGAGAAATAATCAGACTCAGTGTCAAGTTCCTCCTTTAAAGCCAACAGAGAAACGCCCCCAAATCCCATCTCTTCCTTGTCCAGCATTATTTTCTCCAAGTGGGCCGTTTTTTTTCCCATCCACCTCCAGAAGGCTGCTCCTTGTCCAGAAACAGATGATTTAGAAGGAAACACAGTGCTGGTGTATATATAACTGAGAGTCTGACCATCCATGTACTGTCCTCAGTGTTTACAGTGAGGAAAAGCAACAATGAATGTTGTCTTTGCATGTTTATTGCCAAAATAATATAATTGCAGTGACCCTCTTTGCTCTTTTATGGTAGCTCTTTCAGCCCAAATCAGACTCTTTCCATTTGCTCAAAGAAAGTTTCCCAGTTTAGCTTGTAATTAAGGCCTAAGTAAAGAAAAGTAAACCACTAGGTCTGAGCCACATCCACTCTCACTGCAAAGGAAAAACACTATATAGCATGTGCCATCGCCACAGCAAGCTGTATGGCTACTAGTTTATTTAAAAAAGAATACATTCACCACCTATCTCTACCGGCACTAAATATATGTAATACAATAACCATGTATACATATATATATACCTTATATTTTATATTTTATCACCTGTCTCAAATGTTCTCACAGTGTGCTGCAAGTGGCATTTGTCAGAAAATGCAAAACTGGATTTTAAAGCTTCTAGGAATAATACACCTTCCTGGCCAGACGTTCAGTAAAGTGATTCTAAAATTAATGCTAAAACAATTAAAAGTCTCCCAGAGTTCTGTGAACCAGCTTTATCAGTAGTGGACTCTGTTAGCACTCTAAAGGGCACTTTATCATGTTTCATCCGCTGGAAGGGCACCAAAGAGGGCACTCAATCACATTTTCTCCACTTGAAAGGCACCTACAGTAAGAGGGCACTATCATGTTTTATCTACCATAGGGCATCTGAGAGGGCACTTGAGAGCAATCGCCCTACCCCAGAGTCCACCAGCTCCATCCCCTTCCAGTCTACCTCAGCCTAAATACCTTACATCACAAACTGATCACCACTTGACCACAACAAGAGGATGCCGGCTGATTATTTACACTATCACACTGGGAGTTGACACAGCGACAGGCTACTGGATTGTGTCAAGACAAAAAATGATCAGAGTCACATGCAGCGTCCACAGACAGTGAATGAATAGATATCTTTTGGATAATAAGAGCAGCATAAGGGCCTCTAGCATCCTGTGTTCCTTCCGATGTCAGCAGATATTAACAGCTGCAGGACAGAGCGTTATTGCCTGTCTAAAAGTCATGTGCAATGGCTAAGATAGGCTTGTATATGTTCAGTATGTCTCTCTATGGTACCTTGTTGTGTTGTCAGTCTTCAGAGGTCTTCACAATTTACTCTATAATTACATTCTCCTCTGCCCACTACACAGACTGTTTACTTCACTCTGAATGAGCCAGAGTGCAAATCATTCCCAGGACTGCCAGATGAACCATGTATTTTACTTCCATCAGACCTTTATTACATTCAGACAAACCAGTAAAGTCACAAAAGTGGCGGTCTGCATTCATATGCAAGCACACATACATCATGCATGAGGGAAGCAGATGCTTAAGAGCTTTAAGATGCACTTAAAACATATGCTGCACATGGTGATCACATGTGCAACTGACACACTGACCCCAACATCAAGCATCCAGCTGATCTGAGAAATGATACATATTCATTCAGTTTCTGAAGTTTACAACATGATTTCTTTTACTAAGCAGGACACAATACAGCACAAACTGTACATCAGGTCAGTATCTCAGCTGGATTAAATCAAGAGATAATGCAAATGGTGGTGAGCCCACCCCAGGAAAATCTTGGGAAACAAACAACACTATCTTTGGGAAAACAGTTTGTTGTCTCTGTTTTGTTTAACTGATGGTAGCTTTTTAAAACAGCACTTTGACATCTATCACTTAGTCTTGTGTCATTTTCCTGTTCCTGTTTTACCCTTGAAGTGCCCCACAACTACAAAACACTGCTACAGCGTGCTGTCTGAATGCTAGCTGACACTAGAAGGATGTTTTCACATTCATCTGCTGAAAGTGGAAAGTTTCCCTGAGCTCATTGAAAATCAGATTTTAAGGGGCGGGGCCTACCAGCAGGATTTGTGACATCACAAATAGTCAGGAAGTCAGTCCTGGTCCAGTATCAACTTGTACAGTGTGATGTAGAAACTTGAAGCCACCAGTGCACATCCACTGAGAATGGACTTTACAGTGAAGTAGGAGACATCTTGTGTCCAGCAGGAAAACTTTAGAAATCAACAACATTTGTATATTCAGAGATTCTGGAAGTTTTAATGAGGCAGAAGGAGGAGATTACTGTTTAAGGATTTTAATGTGGAAATTATAGTTTTGTTTTACAGAAAAAAATCAGACACACATTATTGTTCCAAGCAGACTATTTGTATATATGTCTTAATACATGTATGGAGGGGTTGTTTAAGTTATTTAACTTCATATGCATATTTATACTAAATTCAAAAACAGTATAATATAAAATCTGTATATGGTATTAATATGTATGTAGGCATGCCTCAGGCATGATAAAGCTTATAGTTAGGGCTGGATCAGGTGAGTCCTGAACCATCCCTTAGTTATGCTGCTATAGGCCTAGACTATCAGGGGATTTCCCATGATGCACTGAGCTCCTCCCTTCCTCTCTCTTTCTGCACTCATTCATGTTCCATTAATGCATGTTACTAACTTCACTTCTTCCCCGGAGTTCTTGTGCTTTCTCGTCTCGCAGGTTCTCATGGATCCTGGTGGAGCCTCCTGCCATGGTCCTGCTTGACTGCCATTGCTAATATCACTGATATTATTGTTATTATTATTATTACTATTATTATTACTACAGATACTATTATTACTATAATCACTGCTCATTGTCCCCCATCGTTGTTGTCGTCGCCATCATCTTTTTCATGTTCATCATCATTATCACCATCAGTCACTACTATAAGTTGTTGCTACTGTTGTTGCTGTGCACCTCTGTCTGTCTGTCTGTCTGTCTGTCTGTCTCTCTGACCACCACCCACCTAGAGCCGAAGGGTCTGTCCTAGGTTTCTGCCTTTTAACAGGCAGTTTTTCCTTGCCCCCGTCTCCAAGGTCTTGCTCATGGTGGTACTGTTGGGTCTCTGTAAATAATGTTATAAAGAGTTCGGTCTAGACCTGCTCTATTTGAAAAGTGTCCTGAGATAACTTCTGTTATGAATTGGCGCTATATAAATAAAATTGTATTGAATTGAATTGAATTGAATTGAATTGAATTGAATTGAGTCTCCCCTTCTCCCCGTTCTGTTCAAATCTTCACAAAGTCTGTCATCCCACGCCCATCTGTGCCTCACATATTCTGTTCAAAGGCCTTCTTGGTGAGTGTAACATGTCTGAAACTCCACTGACATCTTGAGTTCTTTTCGAGATTTACAGACATCAACTAGAGATGTATGTTTCTGTGTTTTGAGGTCTCAGTTAAAGATGTCGTCATCACTTCAAGCTTAGAAGAAAGCATCAGCTTTTTAGAGCTCAATATTAATACATTTGGATATACATATACACTGATATACATATCAGCTCTGCAACAGAGCAACTTAGTGGAAATATGAGATGATGTTTGGGAAACAGTGTCTCACTCAACAGTGACATCCTGACCCTAATGAAGTTTTGTTGACGCAGCACGTCCAGTCTAGGGCTGCATTCATAAAGACAATGACCTTCGACCTTGCCCCTTCACCTTTGAACTCTCCTTCTGTTTCATCAGCCCGCTGACAGGTCGGTGAGAGAGCAACCTGTCACATGCTACACACATACACAGAGTGCACACAGACAAATCGATTTACATTTTAACAGGAAGAATTCCATATGATGCAAAATGATGGACTGCAGCGGAGTGTGCTGGCCTTTGAAACCATTGACTATAAATACAAAAGCAGATTAGTGACCTCATGAACATGATACCATTGACGCCTAGACTAGGTGTAGGTAACCTGCAGCTGCAGAGCGGCATGCAGCTCTTCAGCCCCTTTCCAGTGCCTTACGATGGCTTTGACAAACTATTATATGAAAATGAATAACATCTCTGTTTGGTTTTTTTAGGCCTAAAGGGATTTTTTAAAATGTATTTTGGGGGGTTTGATTGCCTTTAATCAACAGTGACAGCTGTAGAGAGACAGGAATGGGGGAGAGAGAGGGGATGACACACAGCAAAGGGCTACAGATCAGAGTCAAACCTTTGGTCATTGAAGCAAGGACTCTGCCGTGGACTCAGCAAATACACACCAAATAAAACAAATGTTTTGACAACTAAAATGCTGTCCTGACCTGGCACCTTTTCCTCTATATTTTGAGAAAAGTGTCTCTATCTCTAGTATTCTATAATAGTGCATGGATAGATTTGTTTGCTTTCACTGCTGGCGCCGGCTCTCAACATGCTGTGCCATTAGTGAGTCATAACGGTATGTTTGAACTGCAGTGAGAAATCAGCATTAAGGCCTTTTTACTTGAAAAGTTTACAAACTTTTCTTTGTAAACAGTGTCACAGCTCTTGTCAATCAGATTTATTTGTCTTTTTAATTACTCTGTCTGGAGCTCTTTTGATGGTAAAGGTTGCTGTCCTCTGGCCCTGATGGTAGAAAAATAAGTCCACGAAAATGGACTTAACATAATGTATTCATCACTTTTGTGCATGTCACACAGCTGTTCCGATTAAATGTAGTGCAGCATGTAAACACCAGACCGTATTAATTCAATTTCAATTCAATTTTATTTGTATAGCACCATCTCATAACAGAAGTTATCTCAGGACGCTTTTCAAATAGAGCAGGTCTAGACCGAACTCCTTATAACATTATTTACAGAGACCCAACAGTACCACCATGCGCGTCATCCCATGACAACAGTTGACCTGAAATCTTCAATCAGAATGATTTTAGTCAGAATGAAAAAAAAGGTGCATGTAATCACAAACCGAATCCATAGAAATTACCCAACAGGTGCAGACAAAAACATGAGAGAGGCAAAAACTGTTCTTTAATTGGTGTCTGCTCTATTCCTCCCAACGTGATTCAGAAGCAGACTCCTTGACCATATCCACCCACAAACCTAATGAAAGAGAGGACCGGGTTTAGAAATAAAAGAGAAGTGCTTAAACATGACTGAAATAACCTTATGATTCTTATATGTCATCATTCAGTGGAGCTCAGCAGGGACATCAGAACTATTTGACCGAGCAATATGCAGAGGATGATACAGGTCAGACACTGACTTTAGAGTGGATCCCCCACACCTCTTTTCTCACCCTCAGTTCATTGTTCTTTTCATGTGTACTACTGTGTTTTTTCCACTTCAACAGACCGTGACTTCACATTTGAAAACACAGAGCAGCTGTGAAAGAATGTGAGGGTGCATGCGTGTGTTCGTAGCTCCTGGTTGTGGAGCTTAATCCCAACCACAAGTGTTTTGCTGATACCAGAGACCCCATCTGCTTCTGTTACACACACCTTGTGCAAACAGCATAGAATGAAAACCCACTGGAGAGTAAAGGAATGATTTATTGTATTTCTTTTACATTTAATAGTTTATGATGTACTGCAGAGGGAGGGAGACAGAGAGATGAGGCCGTAGGCTGGGAGAAATACCCCTTTGCAAGAAAAACAGCAAATGCTGCATACCAGGTCATAATTACCGAAATGATTATTATTCCTCATGGTTGTGTCACTACAGATACTTAGCATTTCACTTCAAAGATTAGCTAAAGCAAAGTTAGCTCAATCATCATACTGAATTATCTTTTTAGGACTGAATTACCTTTTAGGAATGGATAAGATTCAGTGATCCGCTTCGGTGCACCAGCATCAAAGTTCAAGATGCGATTGCTAATGTGCATTGGATACAATTTAGGATGAAATCAAGTCAGGCATTTTTGTGATGGTCCTTGACATAAAAAAGGTTTGGGAACCTCTGCTCTAACACATAGTAATAATATGCATTTTATATATATATATATATATATAAAACAAAAGGTGAGCCCTGTCAAGAGCCAGTGTTTGGTTTTTCCGCTCTGGGCTACTGTAGAAACACGGCAGTTTAACATGGCGGACTCCGCCAGAAGAGGACCTGCTCCCTCTGTAGATATAATATAGCTCATTCTAAGAAAACACAATGATTCTTATTTTCAGATGATTATACACTAATGAAAACATACCTATAAATATTATATTCCATTTCTGACAACAGACCTTCCTAAATGTTACACACTGAACCTTTAAGGACTCTGGTGTATAGGAATGAAATTGGGAAAGAAAAGGGATTTAGAATATTGGGATGGTGGCATTTAAAAACTTTTAGAGCCCATCATGAGAACACTCTGCACAGAGAAAATCCATTAAATGAATTCTCAGTAGCAGCTGTCAGGCACAGGATCTTCTCCATTCTGAAAAGCTTTTATTTACATCAACCCGACATGGCAGACAACCTACCCATTGAGACGTGAATAGATTCTTCAGTAAAGCTTGCTCAACTAAGTAGCCTCTAAGTGTGTTAAGCCACCACTGTCTGTGGGTGTGTATTAGGATGATTATGTTCATGTGTAAACCAGGCTTGGACCGATGACCTCCTGGCTGTGACTCGGTTTCCCCGAGTGCTGCACTGTGAGGCTGAAGCCATTCATCATGTCAATAGGGAGCCTTTCATAGGGGTGAGACATCATAGAGGGCCTGTGGTGTAGGAGGACAGACCATGAGTCAGTCCCCACATGGAGCTGCTCAGGCCATGGCTTCCTGCTTAATGACCCGAACATGTGGTGCTTTCAAATCCTACTTGTTCTGTTTGCTCTGTGGAGCACAGCAGATATATTACAGAAATAACTTGTTTAAGACTCATCCATGAGATTTATCGGCATGGTCATGGAGGATATTGTTACAGGCTGAAAATGATGCATTTCTCACACATATGTTAAGGATTGTTTTACTTTTTTGTGGAATTTCCTCCTTCCTTTTTTTGTTTTGTGTGGAAGACCTAGAGATTGTTAAGCCCTGTGAGGCAAATATCTCTACTATCAATGTTGAAAGAAGTATTCAGATGCTTAAAAGTAGTAATACAACAATGTAAAAATACTCAATTTGTATATCACATTAAAAATTTTACTCAAGTGGAAGTTGGAAGTACAGAAGTATTATTAGCAAATATAGCTTAATATCAATAATATCAAGTAAAAATACTTATTTCAAATACATATACACACGTACATAAATTACATTGAAACTCTAGAGTGGATTTATCATTTTCATGACCCTAAATGACATTCCATACCTGTACAAAGTGAAGTCTTTGAACAAGGCCAGGCTGATCCAAGCCACCCACTGTTTAAACAGTTAAAGTTGCTTCCGTCTGGCCACAGGCTCATTCTACCAAAGTCAGGACCAGCAAATTGAAATATTAATTTGTTCCTGCTGCAAATGGCCTTGAAATGATGGTTGATTGATTATGCATGTACTGCTGGCAGTACAACAAATTCCCCTTAAGGGATAATAAAGCTACTCTTGAAAACTACTTGTTTAGGTTTAGGAAAAGATTGTGGTTTGGGTTAAAATATGTACGTAACATAACGTAAGTTAAGTAAAATATGTAACGTAAGTAAAGTAAGGTAAGTTAAAAAGAAGTCAACACTGACTTTTGGTTTTAGACAGGACACGAACAGCGGTCTCCTGAGTTTATTGGACCTCTCTCACTACCTCCCACCTCCTTTATATGTGGTCTTTCTCGCTCTCTTTACTATGTCAACTGACTTCAATGGCACATTAAAGCATTACACCAGACAGGCACATCCAGAAATGAACCTAGTGGGTACCTACAGCGTCATAGTTTAAAGCATAGGGCCACTGACCAAGCTGCCATATTTGATGATATATGTCTCATATATGTCATATGTTTTGTGTTAATTAACCTGCAAAATAACTAGTACCTGTAGTTAAAGGCTCCCTACAATCAGGGGCATTTTCAGACTTTTTTGACCAAGTGAAGTGGTGCACTGACTTATGCAGGAGTGGCACGTATATATCATTTACTAAGTGAAAATGACACATTTATACTACATGCAAAAAACTCATGGGTACCCATAGGACCCATTTTCATTCAGATATCTTGAAGTCAGAGGTGGCCATGCCAATATTTCCATTGCCAAAAATGTAGCCTAACTTTGGAGCGTTATTAAGCCCAGTTTTAGTTTCCTGAGGAGCTTATGGTCTCAATCTCTAGTTTCAGTCTCTTCTATACATTATGATGTTCATTTAGTAAATGATGGTCCCATTTAGAGGAAAATAAACAAGTATTACAAAGTAATATAAGAAAACGCAGAACTCAAGGCTTCAAAACATTACTCCACAAACAGACCAACTTCCCCACAAGGGGAAGGTAGAATCAGAGCCTACAGGCGGATGTTGGGTGGAGGTGGGGCTTTTTTTAAAATGCAACATGAACAGCAGCAGCAGTAGCAGCAAGTGACAGCATAGCTTTCAGGTGAGCAGCGTGGCAGAAGACATGAAGCAAAAGAATGATCAGAGTATAATCAAAAGGATGTGTTGGATATGCTGTATGTTGCAGTGAGAGGAGTAGGCCATGTGAATGGACTCGAGTTGACTCGAGTTGACACCTAAGCTAGCTTGTAGGCTTTGGTTCATTGCAGTAGAAGTAGAGGTAGAAGCACAATGGAGGATGAAAACATGAAAATACTCAAGTAAAGTATGTGAAAATTGTACATCAGGGCAGTCCAAAGTGGATGTATTTTTCCACCAATGCCTACTCTCAGAGCTCCGGAAACTTTCATTGTATTATGTATGTATGAATGACTCAACAGGTACTGACTACACTAAGAGTGATCAAATGTGGCGGTTTGAACTTTCACCTCCATATCAAGTTCTGACAGCTAGAGGGAACACTGGAGAGAATAATTTAGTTAGGTGGCATGTGATGTGGGTGGAGTCACGGCCACTTTGGCGGAGCCAGTTGCAATGAGCCGCATCCGCAACTCAGCGGGACAAAGCGCATTCCTGCATTGCATTAGTTTTGAATAAAGAAGGGGGAAAGAATGTTGCCTGATATATCTCGGGTATGGGAGACCACACTGTATCCCAAATCCATTCCATGTGCGCTTTTGTTGCTGGTATGCTAATAATTTTACTGCAGTGAAACCTTTGGAATGTGCAAAGGAAGCTGTGGAACAATAACAAGGAGATTCTTTGAAGGAAAAGGCACTACAGTAGCATTGTTTTCAACGTTTTATTTGAATTGTATTCAAATTGTAGGTGACTTAAAAAAAAAAAAAAAAGTGATTTTAAGATATGTTGAAACTTTAATGATTCCCATGTGGAAAGTGAATCCTCCCAGCGGTGCCAGGAAACAGCAAAACACAAGAGAATATACAGTTAATCAACACAGAAATAACCCTATAGGCATCTACTGAGGCAAACATAAATGAAAGCAGAATATGTATTACAATAAAATCTGAGAATATGTGGCATTTCTGTACTCTGGAGTCTGGTTGTTAGGTATACTGCGACGCAGATTGTATAATGACTTGCAGACTTCCATGTTGGGAAAGCACAGGGACTATTAACCTTGAATACAAGCCACATGCACACACACACACACACACACACACACACACACTGCTAAAATCCAAACACATATCAAAATAAAAATCCCATGCCTTGCGGAAGGAAATTGCAGATATATAATAGAGCACAGATGAGGATGATAATGAAATCTGGCTACATTGCAGTACAAAGACATCCAGATCCAGGGTGAACAGTGGATGTTTCTCTTGGATTTGAAGGTTGATGATGCTTGATAGGCATCTTTAATAAGCTTGTAAATGTGTCAGACCTTTGGATAATTATAACTTAGGAGGAAATGTCCCTCTCCCTAAATTTGATTAAATGATTCCTCGTTGTTTGGATAAATTACTGTATCAACTCGTTTAAAAGATAAAAATATCTTAATACATTTCCTCATCTAATCATGGTCGTTTTTTTTTTCCATTACAAGCTATTTTGATTTGGGCTGTCCAGCATTACAATGTGCTCCCATTAAAGGTCCAGTCTGTAACATTTAGGAGGATCTATTGTCAGTAATGGAACATAATATTCATAGGTATGTTTTCATTAGTATTTGATAATATTATATATGAAAATAACAATTGTTTTATTACTTTAGAATGAGCTGTTTTTTATCAACAGATGCCGCGTGTCGCCCTTCTGTAAAGTCTGCCATGTGAACTATGCATGTTTCGTGTCCACCATAGTTTCTCCTACGTGCAGTAATCCCTGCATAGGTATGGCACAATGGTATTTATAGGACAACACTTGCATTAAATACATTTTAAGATACGCCCCTGCTTTGTGACAATAAAATTGATCACTTTTAATCCTTAAGTTTAAGTAAAAGTAACTTGGCATAAGTCTGTATCATTCAGACATCAGACATGTATCATTTGTGAATCAGAATCAGGTTTATTGCCAAGTAGGAGAATTTGCCTTGGTAAGTTAGTGAATAACAATGAAACATAGAGGAATAAAAAATAGACAGTAAAAAGAGTCAATATATACAAATATATATAGAGAGACAATGTACAATGTACAACACACATCTCTCCTGTACTAGCTACTCTGCATTGGCTCCCTATAAAATGTAGATTTGAATTTAAAATCCTCCTCCTCACCTATAAAGCTCTTCATGGTCAGGCCCCTTCATATCTTAAAGAGCTCATAGTACCCTATTACCCCACTAGAACACTACGTTCTCTGAATGCTGGGCTACTTGTGGTTCCTATAGTCTCTAAAGTAGAACAGGAGCCAGAGCCTTCAGTTACCAAGCTCCTCTCCTGTGGAACCAGCTTCCAGTTGTGGTTCGGGAGGCAGACACCCTCACCACATTCAAGAGTAGGCTTAAGACATTCCTCTTTGATAAAGCTTATAGTTAGGGCTGGATCAGGTGAGTCCTGAACCATCCCTTAGTTATGCTGCTATAGGCCTAGACTATCGGGGGATTTCCCATGGTGCACTGAGCTACTCTCTTCCTCTCTCTTTCTGCACTCATTCATGTCCCTTTAATGCATGTTACTAACTCCATTTCTTCCCCGGAGTTCTTGTGCTTCTCGTCTCGCAGGTTCTCATGGATCCTGGTGGAGCCTCCTGCCATGGTCCTGCTTGACTGCCATTGCCAATACTGTTGTTGCTGTGCACCTGTCTGTCTGTCTGTCTCTCACTCTCTCTCTCTGCCTCTCTCTCTCTCTCTCTCTCTCTCTCTCTCTCTCTCTCACCCCAACTGGTCGAGACAGACGACCACCCACCTAGAGCCGGAGGATCTGTCCTAGGTTTCTGCCTTTTAACAGGCAGTTTTTCCTTGCCCTTGTCGCCAAGTGCTTGCTCATGGTGGTACTGTTGGGTCTCTGTAATTAATGTTAAAGAGTTCGGTCTAGACCTGCTCTATTTGAAAAGTGTCCTGAGATAACTTCTGTTATGAATTGGCGCTATACAAATAAAATTGAATTGAATTGAATTGAATTGAATATGTTGAATACTTAAAATGAAATAAAATAAAGTATGAAGCATGATATTTGCATAAAGTCTAAGGGAAGTGCATTAATAGATAGATAGATAGATAGATAGATAGATAGATAGATAGATAGATAGATAGATAGATAGATAGATAGATAGATAGATATTCCTTTATTTGTCCCACATAAATACATAAGAACAGTGGCATGCACAAGGGGGGGCAATTGTTGAAAAACGCGTGCTAAAGTGCCCTCCTGGGAGCCAAAATGTGTGCTAAACTGCCCTCAAGTGCCCTCTTGGGAGCCAAAACGCGTACTAAAGTGCCCTCAAGTGCCCTCTTGGGAGCCAAAACGGTGCTAAAGTGCCCTCTAGGGAGCCAAAATGTGTGCTAAACTGCCCTCAAGTGCCCTCTTGGGAGCCAAAACGCATGCTAAAGTGCGCTCTTGGGAGCCAAAATGCGTGCTAAACTGCCCTCAAGTGCCCTCTTGGGAGCCAAAATACGTGCTAAAGTGCCCTCAAGTGCCCTCTTGGGAGCGAAAACGGTGCTAAAGTGCCCTCTTGGGAGCCAAAACGCGAAAGTGCCCTCCTGGGAGCCAAAATGCGTGCTAAACTGCCCTCAAGTGCCCTCTTGGGAGCCAAAACGCGTACTAAAGTGCCCTCAAGTGCCCTCTTGGGAGCCAAAACGGTGCTAAAGTGCCCTCTAGGGTGCCAAAATGTGTGCTAAACTGCCCTCAAGTGCCCTCTTGGGAGCCAAAACGCATGCTAAAGTGTGCTCTTGGGAGCCAAAATGCGTGCTAAACTGCCCTCAAGTGCCCTCTTGGGAGCCAAAACACGTGCTAAAGTGCCCTCAAGTGCCCTCTTGGGAGCGAAAACGGTGCTAAAGTGCCCTCCTGGGAGCCAAAACGCGTGCTTAAGTGCCCCTCCTGGGAGCCAAAACGCGTGCTAAAGTGCCCTCAAGTGCCCTCTTGGGAGCCAAAACGGTGCTAAAGTGCCCTCTAGGGAGCCAAAATGTGTGCTAAACTGCCCTCAAGTGCCCTCTTGGGAGCCAAAACGCATGCTAAAGTGCGCTCTTGGGAGCCAAAATGTGTGCTAAACTGCCCTCAAGTGCCCTCTTGGGAGCCAAAACACGTGCTAAACTGCCCTCAAGTGCCCTCTTGGGAGCCAAAACGGTGCTAAAGTGCCCTCTAGGGTGCCAAAACGCATGCTAAACTGCCCTCTTGGGAGCCAAAACGCGTGCTAAAGTGCCCTCAAGTGCCCTCTTGGGAGCCAAAACGGTGCTAAAGTGCCCTCCTGGGAGCCAAAACGCGTGCTAAAGTGCCCTCAAGTGCCCTCTTGGGAGCCAAAACGTATGCTAAACTGCCCTCAAATGGCCTCTTGGGAGCCAAAACGTGTGCTAAACTGCCCTCAAATGACCTCTTGGGAGCCAAAATGCATTCTAAAGTGTCCTATTGGGAGGCAAAATACACTAAATTACCCTCTTGGGTGGAAAAAACACTCAACTGCCCTCTTCTAAGTTCTATTATTAGGTAGAGAAGCCTATTGCATGTTTAAGGAGGAGCTACCTCACTACGTCTTGTGGGAATAGCTTTTCAAAGCTAGCCAGTAAAGTTCAAAGTTGGGTTAGCATTGCATATCAGAGTTTCCGCCAGCTTTAAGTTGACTCCCCGCCGGGCTAAGCATCTGGGATCATTTTTAAAAATGCTTTCTTGAAAATGCCTTTTAAACTTCAGCTTGCAAGTTAAGGACAGAAAGTCTTGTTAGTAGGCTAATGCTATTGAGTAGGCTAGTGGCTAATGCTAGCAGCTAGTTGAGAGGGAGAGAGAGAGAGACCAGTGTGATGATCAGCTAAGTAGAACAGAGCTGGGTGAGCATTATAAACTGTGAATGTAGCGTTAGTGTATATTAGGATACACTTTACAATAAAAATAGATAATGCAGTCAAAGCAGATTTCCTGAATTGTGTGAAGGCTAGATACATTTAGGCTAGCTCATTTTAGAGCCATGAATGAGCCCAGTTTATTCCACGGAGCAGTAAATGTGTCTCACACCTTTTCAACAGCTATGGCTTAAGCTTTGATATTGTTTTATTTTAATTCAATTTCTTTTGTTGCTGTTGAAAACACAGCATTCAGGAGTGCACACTGTCTGATTCTCTATGACACATTACTGTTGCGATGACTTTTATGTTGGGCCCTTTGTTGATCTATATTGAGCCAGAACTATATCTCACAGAACCAGTTTGGATTATCTGGTGTTAATATGGTGTTAAAATGCACTAGAATACAGGAAATGGCTTCTACTTAATTGAAAATGTTCTGGGGGAAGACCCCCAGACCCCGGGGATTTATTTCCTTCATACATCCATGTCGCTGTGTGTTCTTCACTGTCCAACGTTGAAATCCACACAGTTCTCGTGGATGCTGAATCTTACAGCAAACTAAACTGAGTAGTAGTGTCTGTCTAGTTAGTCTGTTTTAAAGCTATATAATGTGCCATTTGTATAACATATAAAACGTGTCTAAAGTGCCCTCTACAGTAGTGAGGATGTTAATGTGCCATTTTTTTCTTTCCGCCCCTGCCCATCAAAAAGTCTGTGCACGCCACTGCATAAGAACACATAAGAATACATAAGAACATTGAATATTCATGACTAAATAAGCATTAATCAACATTAAAGGTATGGGAAAGCATCCTTAGTTATTACTTACAGGTCCAGTGTTAGGATTTTGTGGCATCAAGCAGTGTTGTTGCTTTTAGAACACCAGCACCTCTCACAGTATCTTTGCCTCACATTTCTCCCTTCGTACCCCTCCCCTTTCTAAACCTCTGCTTTATACCAATAGACACATCACTGTGGCAGAACATACCATATAACTCTTTATTATATTGCACAGTTTGTGCAGGCCTTAGCTCCAAGCAAATATGAATGGATGATCTCACAGTCACTGTCTGCCTGTGCTGAGAGGTTAATAACAGCCAAATCATGAATGCTTCTGTTTGAAGAAGGGATTTTTTTCATTCTGCGTGGGTAGAAAAACTGTAGTGCAGGTCATGGTCAACCAAGCAGAGAGAAAACCTTCCTGAGCTGAAAAGGCTGTGGGTCAGAGGACAAGGTCTCACTGAAATAAAGTGAGTGTGAGAGAAATACCAAGCTCACAGTGAATGCAGTATGTTGAACACACTGTAAGTTTGCTGTGCGATGCAGAAAACTCCTCAAACTAAGGAGTAAGCCATGTGTTGGAAGCAGTGTTTGGCTTTCTCCCAAAGAATGTTTGGGAGAGCTTCATTGCAAATGTAAAATAAGATAAGAAACCTGCATATTGCAGTAGTTGGACATGCAGCATGATAATATGTTCTTTCTCTTTCACACATTATCAGTCAAATCACTGTAAGGCCTTTGGCCTGAAGCTGAAGGCAAGAGGTTTAGAATATAGATTTTTGACTTTAAAGTGAGTTTCAAGTTGTCAAGATCAAAAGTTACAGAGACTTGCTTTTTATGCTGTTGGAATACTAAAACCAGAAATATAAGAATGAGGGAGTAGATGGTGGTCAGAAGAAGACTGTCAATCCAAGAAAATGCCCAAAACTTGTCATAGGATGACACAGTATTTGATTTCACAAGGCTCTCTCCAGCGACTAAGAGACAGTCTTATATTTGCTCTTGTCCGGCCGCCCCTTGTTTGGTCACTCTATTTCTCTCTTCTTAGTTTTTTTTTTGGCCTTTACATTTACATTGCCTGCTCGCCTGGCTTATGGTGCCCAATCCGGGCCTGAAAACCTTGGCAGCAATGATTCAGTTTTACCAAAATGAATGACGTAGTCGGTGGTTTTTGACTTGTGACGTTAGGGGGGCCTTTCACACAGAGATGCACGTCGCACCAGGCGTGTGCTCCTCTCTTGAGCCACACATAAGGCTTAAATATTCTCGTTTGGTTCTCGCTTACAATGTGACCTGTGGGTTTTTGCTGCAGATCATCCTCTAGGTTGGTGAATAGGTTAGTAAGCTAGCTAGTTAGCAATTGGAGAATGAGAACTCTATAGAGATAGATTGCTACAGCTGCGCCTGTAGCAATGCATCTCTCGTTAAGAACATGCCCCAATCTGGAGCCAAAGGTTACATAGTGTGAGAACAGGTGTAGGGGGCACAGGGAATGACAACTGTATCGTCCAAATATTTTTGAAGCTGTGATTTTATGGTAGTAAAGTTACATAATGTTACTTTAAGACGGGAAGCCACTGTTCCCTTTATGTTACCTACTGACAATGGTTTGTTATTACCATGACCACACTTAGAATAATAGCTTTTCTGTTATCTGGAGTGAACATCTCCTCACACACATCTGTTTCTGTAAGCCCTTGCTCATCTAGCCTCTAAGTCTGAGCTGACCGATCATGGCCTCCACAGGAGTAGAAATGGATAAGTTTCCAGTAAAGAATTTAAAAAGCTCCAAAAATCCACAGTTATCACAACCATAAATCTCCCTTATGTAGCAACATTCAGAGACTGATGGATGGGAGGGTGCAGCAGACAGTGCAGATCTGTCTTAGACAAGTATTTTATGGTGCATGAATATTTATGCTCAGGCATGTTTTCTGACATACCGGTAGATAAACTCTCACTGGCATGCGTGTTGTTTTCATATACTGGATAGACCAGCGCAAGTAGTACATTTGAGCAAACATAAGTAAAAGGACATAATTTTCTATTACTGAGGTGCCACTTTGATGTTTTCAATCTGAATGTGGAGGGAACGTAGTACAGTGTGTGGGTAGGTCTATAGTGTTTGAATAGGGCATTCCACAGTCAGACTTTAGAATAACATTCCCTTCAAGCACAGCTACCGGTACAAATAACTCCAAGTGCCCCGTCAGCTAATGATCAAGGCCTATAGACTCTCATACACATACAGACACATGACTGTCAGTCTATGACTGAGTTCAGTACATTCATTAAAACAATAGTATGTCTCCATATTCAACGTATATCTTGGAACATGC